TGACTTCACATTCCAGGATGTCTGGCTCTAGGTGAGTGATCACACCATTATGATTATCTGGGTCGTGAAGATCTTTTTTGTACAGTTCTTCTGTGTATTCTTGCCACCTCTTCTTAATATCTTCTGCTTCTGTTAGGTCCATACCATTTCTGTCCTTTATCAAACCCATCTTTGCATGAAATATTCCCTTGGTATCTCTAATTTTCTTGAAGAGATCTCTAGTCTTTCCCATTCCATTGTTTTCCTCTATTTCTTTGCACTGATCACTGAGGAAGACTTTCTTATTTCTCCTTGCTATTCTTTGGAACTCTGCATTTAATGGGTATATCTTTCTTTCTTCACCTTTGCCTTTCACGTCTCTTCTCAGTTTATTTGTAAGGCCTCCTCAGGCAACCATTTTGCCTTTTTGCATTTCTTTTCCTAGGGGATGGTCTTGATCCCTGCTTCCTGTACAGTGTCAATGAACCTCCGTCCATAGGTCTTCAGGCACTCTATCAGATCTAATCCCTTCAATCTATTTGTCACTTCCACTGTATAATCATAAGGGATTTGATTTAGGACATACCTAAATGATCTACTGGTTTCCCCTACTTTCTTCTATTTAAGTCTGAATTCCAACAAATTAAAACATAAGTCAGATGCACGCATCCTGTGTGTGACCTCCGGAAACAGCTCCTGTGTCTGGTTTGGTGCCTACAGCACACACGTCTGTGCCTGCGTGTAGCGTGTGTGTGTGTGTCTGTGTGCGGGTGATGCACGTGGACCATCTTTGTCAACAAAACACCTGCTTTGCACTTTGGCTGTAACTTCACTCTTCAGTTACTATGATATCTGGGGTCCCACTCCATTTCAACACATAAAGTCAACACCTTTCCTATATCATCTCAGTTTACAAATATTGTAGCAGTGGTAACTGTTTTCTAGCTTTTAGTTCTGCCCTCACATATGGGGGCCTTTAGTCACTCATTCTTTCTGCAGATTCGACTCCTGAGTTAAACAGAGTGTGCAGAGTCTTAAAAGCCCCGCTTACTGTATCCCACTCTCCACTCGTGAGAGGCCTTCATCCCCCTTCACTCACGCGATGCCTCCACGGGTCACCCCAGCCAGCCTTATGGGTGAAGCTGTGACCTCTCTGCTGTTTCAAAGAGCAGTTCCGTCCCCACCAGGGGTGTGCATGTCTGTTACGTCCCATCGTCCCTGCTCGGGAGTAAGCTGAGCTCCACGTTGCAAAACCGCTGGGCCTGGTTCCCGCAGCCCAGTGTGGCCCATGCCCCTGAGCCAGGCAGCGTCTGTGCTGGCAGGCTGTGTCTTTCTTGTGTGCCCCCTGTGCCCAGCATCTGCAGGCACGCAGGGACAGTCCCTAATGTCGCTGTTTAGTGGCAGCTTCCCCATATGCTTTTCTCTGTGTGCATGTCTGTTACGTCCCATCGTCCCTGCTCGGGAGTAAGCTGAGCTCCACGTTGCAAAACCGCTGGGCCTGGTTCCTGCGGCCCGGTGTGGCCCGTACCCCTGAGCCAGGCAGCGTCTGTGCTGGCAGGCTGTGTCTTTCTTGTGTGCCCCCTGTGCCCAGCATCTGCAGGCACGCAGGGACGGTCCCTAATGTCGCTGTTTAGTGGCAGCTTCCCCATATGCTTTTCTCTCGGCCGTTTCTTCTCCTGTTGCTTTGTATGTTTATATCCCTCCTTCGTCTGTCACGTATGCTACAGAAAATTGTATTCCAGCCTGTCCTTTGTCTTTCTAGAAGAGAAGAAAAGTTGCTTAGTCGTGTCCAACTCTCTGCGACCCCGTGGACTATACAGTCCAGGGGATTCTCCAGGCCAGAATACTGGAGTGGGTAGCCTTTCCCTTCTCCAGGGCATCTTCCCAGCCCAGGGATCAAACTCAAGTCTCCCACATTGAGGGCAGATTCTTTACCAGCTGAGCCACAAGGGAAGCCCTTGTCTTTCTAGAGTTCTCCTTTTATTCTTATCAGAGTAAGTAAATGTCCATAAATCACAGGCCCCACCAGGCTCCCTCCCGGAACAGCTGGCCCCGCCCCGCCCTGTGTCCTGACCACAATGCCCAGAAAGTGCACAGAAACCGCCCGTGACCTTGACTGCGTTCCCGTTCGTGTATGATTTCCCTTTATCCTGAAGTTGATCATTTGTCTCATTTGCTTAGTTTNAGGCTCCCTCCTGGAACAGCTGGCCCCGCCCCGCCCTGTGTCCTGACCACAATGCCCAGAAAGTGCACAGAAACCGCCCGTGACCTTGACTGCGTTCCCGTTCGTGTATGATTTCCCTTTATCCTGAAGTTGATCATTTGTCTCATTTGCTTAGTTTTCTGTCTGCCTGTGTTTTTTAAATTGAGGTATAGTTGATGTACAATATTAAACAACTTTCAAGTGGACAATTTTTAAAGTTATATTCCATTTGTACTTATTATAAAATATCAGCTGTGCGTCCCTGCTTTTAATTCAGCCCCGCAGTTTGGCAGACGAAGGAGCCTCTGCTCCGGCCCCTGACTGCCCTTCACGGCCTCTCGGGGAGGCCCGGCCTCTTCCCTGGACCCCGCCTCCCCTTCTGTCTGGGCTCTGCAGCTCCTCCAAGCTTTCTCAGAAGCTGTGTGTGGAACTTGACTTTCTGGAGTCCTTGCCTGCCGGCAGGTGCCTTTATCCTAGCCCCCGAGTGATGGATAGCGTGGCTAGGTCTAGCGTCACCTTCCTTCAGGGCTTTCAGGCCCTTGTCTTACCCTGCAAGTGACCAGAACCCAACCTTGCTCACAAGGCTGACCCTTGGGCCCCGAAGCTCTGAGACCTTCCGGGACGCCCCCTTCAGGACCAGGGAGTGTTGTTCCCAGAGAGACTAACCTCAGTGACGCCAACAGGGACCCCCCACAGTGGGGCAGGGGCCACACGCTCCCCCCGCTCAGGGGCCTTGCCGTCCTGGGTCTCGGGCAGAATCCTCGCCAGGACGGACATGTGGTTGCAGAAACCTCATGCAGGTTCAGCTGATATCTTGTGGGGAGAGGGGTTGTGTCTGTTAATCCAGCAGGGAGATTGGGCTTCTTTTTTTCTTTTTTAATAATGGTAAAGTAAGAAGCTCAGTGTAGAAATAGAAATAAGTGAAATGTGAAGCTCCAGTTCTCTCAAAAATGTAAAAATAGTATTAAATATTAAAAAACACAGAAGTGGGTCCTCTTGCCAGCAGGGATGGCCGTTCTGTTACTGGGTCCTCTTCCCCTTTTGACACGAACGTCCTGCCAGGGAACCTGGCCGTGCAGACAAACGCTGCGGAGCAGAGGGTGTCTCCCCGGGATCGGGGCCTCCGGAGCAGGCTGTGCGTCTGGAGCAGCTGCCACCTTGCTCGTACCTCACCCCTCATTTCTCCGGGAAGCATCCTTCAGGCGGGCTGCTCCTCCGTCCTCCTCCCAGGACCCATATTACCTCCCAGAGCCCCCCAGGGTCACGCCACTGCGGGGACCCCTGGCCCTGCCCCCTGGGCTTCTGGAGGACAGAGTCACAGCAGACGTGAGACATACGCACGGCCTCGTTCTTAGAACCCCAGCCAGCTTACCTCCGACTCCGAGGGGAAGTCTGATCCTGTTGCTTGTTGCTCTAGAGAGGGTAAACTTCCTGTTCCAGAAAGATTAAAATCAGCAGGGCTGCTGATTACAAACAAAAACAAGAGGTAAAAAAAACTCACCAGTTTGCAGATCCACAAGTAGCGGAAGCTTGAATGAACTCATAAAGTGTCTGAAGGCAGAAGTCTGGTGGTGAGCTCACTGCCACCACGGGCTATCGAGCTGCCAGCCTGCGGGGCCGAGACTCGGGTGTCCTGAGGCCACAGGGAGGGCCCCGCTGAGTGAGGCTACCCCCTTCCCCAGGCAGCCACGCTGACATGGGACTGGACTGGTCCAGGGTGTGGTCTGGGCTCCGGGTGCAGAGGCTGGACCCCTGCAGGTTTGCAGAGGGCTCCATTCGCACAAGCAGGTCTGTTACCAAAAGCAACCCAAGCACCTGTGCCCCGGGGGTCAGGCGACACGCAGAGGGTGGGTCTCATCTGCAGGCAGGTGGCTAACCTTTCATCCGGTGGGTTGGCCCTAGCACCTCTCAGCGGCTGGGATCCGAGCGGGCAGCCGGCTCCTAGGCCGTCACACATGGGGAATTTTTGATTTGCAAATATAGAGGTGTGTAATATAGAGGTCGTGGTAAACCGCCCCCTAGTCACCTTGACCCCAGTTGTGTCTGCCTGCGGGTAATGACGTCTCCTTTTCCTGCAGCTTCTGAACCCAACCTGAAATTACGCTCCAGGCTAAAGCAGAAAGTGGCTGAGAGACGGAGCAGCCCCCTGCTACGCAGGAAAGATGGGCCAGTGGTCACAGCTCTGAAAAAGCGTCCCTTGGATGTGACAGGTACTTGAGTGCAAATCCGTCGCCCGCCTGACTATCTCTGAGAGGCCGTCCTGCACACTCTCCCTGTAGCAGGGAAACCTGCATCTCTCTGCATCGTCCCCCACCCCAGTTCCGAAGGCGGTGCCAGCCCCCTCTGAGTCCAAGGGCCCCAGGTGGCCCCTAGCAGGGCGCTCAGAGCCCTGTCCCTGGGCAGCTTGTCTGCCCCCAGCCTGGACCCGCAGGGCATCTGAGGGCAGTCAGGCTCCCTGACATCCCGGGAGACGGTCAGGGATTCTAAGTGGAGGGTTCTCTGAAGCTGGGGTGTTTAACGGCTCCCGCCCTGTTGGTGAGCCCAGGTCTCCTACCTGCCCCTGCCTATTCAACGGCAGACTCTTCCTGGCAAGGAGGCGGGAGCTTGGGAGTCTCTGCGCCCAGGTCCACGCGCTGCTCTCGGCCCCCACCTAGTGGCCGGCCTGTGGAAGTACACCCGCCTGGTCGAGGCCCTTTCCCGGTGGTCCCGAGGACACAGCCCACTTCCTGGGGCTGTGCTGTCAGGAGGGCACCTCGCCTCCGGAGGGCGCACCCCTCGTTCAGGGGGCGCACAGCCCCGTGCTTGGAATCACGGGACAGAGGGGTTGCCTAGGTGGCCTGGAAACAGGCGGGGAGGGCCCGTGTGCACCAAGGACAGGGTTTGATGGAGACCTGAGGCTCTTGGGGCCGCCCCTCAGGAAGGAGGGGTTCGTGGGCGCCGTGGGAGGGGCCAGCCCTCCACGCCGGCTACCCGCACCCTCGGGTCCGAGCGCAGAGTCTGGGGTGAGCTGAGCGCTCTCAGCCCTGCTCTGTGGCCGGAGTGAAGCCCCTGGTCCCGGGCCTGCCTGAAGCCGGGTCTGAGGCCGCGGGCCTGGGGCGCCGTGGTTCTGGTAGAGAGACCAGGCCCCTCTCACCGTGGGTTCTGTGCAAACTCGGGCCTCTCCAGATTCAGGGTGCACGTGTTCCCCCTGCACTGGGCTTCCTCTCTTCGGGGGGCAGCGGCCCCCACCGGTCAGGCCCGGCCACTTCTGTCCTGGTGCTGGCTCTGGCCTTCTTGCCCTCAGCCTCATGTGAGGTCAGGACCAGGCTGGGCGCTGCAATGATGAGCCGCAGCCTCGCCTCCCAGCAGCTTCCTCTCTGACTCCAGAGACCAGGGCGCCCCACGGGGGCCAGGAACACGCAGCCTGTGGCACCTGCTGGGTGCTGGGCAGCATCACCCAGAGAGGGCACTGTGAGGGATGTGAGCAGGGCGGGCTGCGGGAGCCCCCTGGGCCAGGGGCAGCACGGAGATGGGGGGTGGGTTTCCAGTCCAGCACAACCCCCCAGCGGCTGGTGGGGAGGATGCTCTGAGCAGAGCTGGCTTTCCAGAACACGGGAAAGGAAGGAGCTCTGGGCAGGGTGGGGTCCCCTCCCCTGGGGTCTCGAGCAAGAGGGGGCCGCAGCGTCCCAGACAGGAGGCAGGGAGGGACAGAGTGAGGGCGTGGCCAGCGGCGGCCCTAGCTGAGTCAGGGGCGTGGCCACGTCACACCACCTGTGCCCAGCCCCTAATCAGAGCTGCGCCCGGCGGCGAGTGGACAGGAGAAGCGGCCGCCCCTCTGACCCTGTCCAGAGAAATGCTGTTAACGTCTGAGCGTGTTTCCTTCCACCCCTTTCTGTGCGGGTCTGGCACATACCCTGTGCACACTCAATTCCTTTTTCACTCGGTATCAGTCACAACACTCCTGCACCTTTAATGATATTCCATCATGTCGATGCAAATGATACATTCGTATTTACTTTTTAGACCAGATTCCTTGAAGTAGAGTGAAAAAGTAGTCAAAACACCGTTGAGCTGAAGATGGGTGAAAAACTGGAGAGATCACATATAATTTTTATTGCCCCCAAAAGTTGTCCCGGTTTCCCACACACTCTGGAGGGTTTATCTGCTGACGATGCTGGGGCGGGCCCGTTTAAAGGAGGGCGGGAGGGGAGGCTCTGTGCAGCCGGGGGCAGGCTGACAGCAGGGGTATGCCCATGGTGGGGTGGGGTGGGGCAGCCAGCCCTGTCTTCACACGTGACATGTAACACCTGCCAGCCCAGGTGGCCCTCCCAGCTGCCCCCGTTGAGGGAGGCACATGTGCACATGACTTAACCTGGTGGAGACCAGGCTCTGGATCCGGTGGGTGGGGAACCAGGGCCTGGGTTCACCATCAGTGCACGGGGGGAAGAGGGGGTCCAGGGGGGCCTCGAGTGGGCAGAGCCACTTGCTGCCAGGGTGTTCCCAGGGGGACGGCTGCTCAATGGAGAAGGCTTGAGTGCTTATGGTCCTCTGGGTGGAGGGAGTCATGCATGTACCCTTGGGTTCGGGTCTCCTCCATGAGAGCTGGGCCTGCGGGAATGGGCACTGCCATCCGCATGGCACCCTCAGCCTCTTCATGTTGCCCCAAGTTCAGCCAGAACCAAGTCTGAGAGTCCTCCAGGCCCCACTGGCAGCTCCACGGGCTCATGCTCCTGGGCCAGGCCTCAGTTAGGGATGCAGAGAAGATTTGCCCTGGAAGATGCCTGTTGGGCCCCTTTGGGGTCCAGCCTTGGGAGATGGACCAGGCTTCCCCTCCGCATGCCTGCAAGCCCAGGTTGGGGTAGAGTGTTAGGTCATCAGAGGTCCCGTGGTCAGTGGGCGCTTGTGGCAGGCAGTGAAGTGAAAGTGCAAGTTGCTCAGCCGTGTCCGACCCCGTGCGATCCCATGGACTATACAGTCCGTGGAATTCTCGAGGCTGGAATACTGGAGTGGTAGCCTTTCCCTTCTCCAAGGGATCTTCCCAACCCAGGGATCGAGCCCAGGTCTCCCGCATTGCAGGTGGACTCTTTACCAGCTGAGCAACAAGAGAAGCCTAAGAATACTGGAGTGGGTAGCCTATCCCTTTTGTAGCAGATCCTCCCGAACCAGGAATCAAACCAGGGTCTCCTGCATTGCAGGCAGATTCTTTACCAACTGAGCTATCAGGGAAGCAGGCACTCGGGAGGGAAAAGCAGACAGCTCAGGCTGGTTCCCTCTGAGAGGCTGTACCCAGAGGTGCCAGTGTTCGACACCATCCAGCCAAATGAGGACGCAGAAATGCAAGACACACCCTCCTGTTACCACAGAGAGTCGCAGGTGCTTCTCCGCAGGAGGGGCCCCTTCGGCAGTGAGGGCGGGGGCACCCAGGTGGGACACGCTCCTCCAGAGCCCCGGCCCCGGTGGGCGAGGTGGGGCCACACAGGCCATCACAGCAGCCTGGAGACCGTCCAGGGTGCGTTGTCAGATAACCTGATCAAGCACAGAGGCCACCAGCTGAGCTTTTCCCAGGATGTCTGAAAAAGTCAAGGATTGGTTCAAAGCAGACGTTGACAGCGGAGGCTCTGAGCATGAGCACAGCGCACTTGACCTTCCCCTGTTCACAGGCGCTGGGCCTCTGTGCTTTGTCGTCTCTTGTTGTTACATTAACGATTATTCAGAGCTTGTTTCTCTGGTGTTTATGATTATTTACAAAAGAGGAGTAAAATTGACAGTGTGTGCTCAGCTCAGGTTTCAGGGGTGCGTCTGTTCCAGGGGACACAGGTTTGTGAAAGTCTCGAGTCGACCGCACAGCCGGGAGCAGGGAATTAGCTCCGGGGCCCCTGTGTGCGGACTATGGTTCCGTCCTTTCCGCCATTGGCCAGCCCAGCTCACACCTCGGGGTCCTTGCCGGGATCCGGGTCAGGCTCACGAGTGTCTCTCCCTCCTAGACTCAGCGTGCAGCAGTGCCCCGGGCTCCGCACCCAGCTCGCCCAACAACAGCTCCGGGAATGTGAGCACGGAGAACGGGATCGCGCCCGCCGTCCCCAGCATCCCGGCCGAGGTCAGTGTGCGGCGCGCTCGTCCACGGGGTGGTATCCAGCCACCCTTCCGTCTTGACTGTCGGGGCAGCATCTCCGAGGCGCCTCAGACCACGGGGGGGGCGGTGCCCGTCACCTCTGCCGGTCAGACCCCAGCTGTGCTGCAGGTTGAGAAGCGGCTCCTGGAGAACCCTCCTGGGGGCTGCTCCGGCCAGGCGGGGCCGCTCAGGGCTGGCTGCAGGCCACGCCCTTGATCAGACCTGGGTCAGGGCGATGTTCCGGAACCTTCACTCCATGCTTTCATTTTCCTCCTTATTCACTTTGCTCCCCCGGCTCATGCCACAGGTGTCTGGAGCTCCTGCTGTGTGCAAGCCCTGTGGCCCTGCTCGGGGCCTGTCTCCTCTAGGGTGGGCGGGTGCTGGCGGGAAGGGGAGCCGGCTGCACACCCCGTTTGCTGGGATGGAGCCGGCTGAGCCATGTGCTTCCTTCTTGGATGGTCCTCCTGACTGCGAGGTTCTTGTGAGGGTTTTTTTTTTTAAGTTCCTTCCAACTTACAGGAGGCTGTCATTTGTCAAACACAGTAATTTGCTCTCTTGCTTAAATGTTTAGAAATGAGTCCTGCCCCTCCAGAGGGCTGACAGGTTTTGGTCGGAGCACACAGGGCCACGTGTCCATTTTTAGTTTTTAGACACTTAAGATAAAAAGCAGATTTTTAGAAACTCAGATGATTTTACACTGCTACCTCTAGCTTACTAATCCCCCTTTATTCTTTTCCTTGTACATCTATTTTATTACCTGTGCATTTCAGCCTCCCTGTTTAAGGACTTGTTTAGATTAAGAGTTTTAACAATCCTTCTCTGGGAGGCTGAGGTCATAGCTGAGATCTACCTGTTATCAGCCTTAGAACTTGGCCTAGAAATTTCTTCCTGGAACGAGCTGTAAAGACTGCATGTAGCTTGTCAGTCGTGCTCATAGATCCTGGTTTTATTTCAATGGGCAGTTATGCGCCTAATGGTTTCTACTGTAGAGACGCCTTATTTGAGTGGATGCCAGTTTAAGTTGCATGTTAATTTTTACAAATTGCATTTTCATGTAAATTAAGCTACTGGAAATTAATAGAAGATGTCAAAGGATTTGCAAGAAACAAAGACTGCAGTTCACTCATTTTACTTTAGATATGGTAATCACAGGGCTAGCCCTTGAAAATGTGGTCACAGTTGGATGTCCTTTGTGGATTTCAGTCTAGTTAGACCTGGACAGTTCTCTGAGCGCCTCTGTAAGCCTGAGGCCAGGGCTGGCCAATCCTCAGCATCTGGTCCAGAGATGGCAAGGGGTCCTCATGCGGAGGGGAGCCCGCTGGCCCAGCTCTGCATCCCCTTTCCCGGCTGGACCGAGGGATGCCCAGCATCGTGCTTACACGGGGGGAGCAGGGCTCCCCGACCCTGGACAGCCTCTGCCCAGGAAGGGAGCTTCAGGCGATGCTGAAAGCCCGGTGGGATCTGGGGGTGTCAGTGGGGGTGCTGCCTGGTCCCGGCCTTCCTGGGCAGCTGAGGGGCATGCCATAGGGCAGGTGGAGACGGCCAGCACTGGAAACGCAGACCAGTCAACACATCAGACGATTCCCAGGAGGCTGCTTGATTTCTAAAAATAAAGTAGGTTTTGTTGTTTGTGTGTTTAAAAAAGCTTTGGTTATAAAGAGGAAATGACAACTTTCAAGCACTCAGTGTTTGCTTGTTTTATTCCTGGACAATGGTAATACAGTGGAATCATGCTTTCCTTGGCAAGCTCAGCCACTTTCTCTAAATCAGAGCTTGCTGATTTTTTTTAAAAAAACCAGAAAAGGGGCTATTTTTAAAGTGCCCCGTTAGTCATTACTGTGCCATTTACTATGTGAACAGACTAAGGTGGCTGCAGCCTTCACTCGGGGAGACGCAGTAACCTTCCTCCTAAGTGGCCCTTGCTGCGGTGCCCAGGGACCCAGCCGTCAGATGTGTGTGTGAGTTCCCGCGTGACACCAGCAAGCCACCCAGGGCCTTCTGCCTGGCACGGGGTTCCAGCACACACGCCCTGGGGTGGTCATCGCTCCACCCTCCGATGGGCCGAGGGGCACTTCCCGGCCAGGGCTGCAGTCCCACCCTTGTTCACAGTAACTTTCAGCTCACATTCTTTCTAACCGCACCAATGAAATCTTAAAGCAGGCAAAATGATCCTCATCCTTAATTATATAATCCATTGTGAGAAGAGCTAGGCGAAAACCGGTTATAAGTCCATGATTAGTGTCATTTTCTACTGCTGAGAGGGGGACAGTGTGAATACGACAGTGTCCTTTCTGCAAGGAACCTTCATGCTAGAGGCAAAACGACATGAAATACGACAGTAATTCAAGTCCTTGGAGACTGGCACTTAAGCACACATGATAAATAAGATTCCAAGTCATCAACAGGATTTTCCCAACCTGAGTGTCCCATGGATGAATGTGTCCTTGTGTGTGAAGACGCCTCGTGGATTTACCCTCTGACTGGCTGTAGGGCCCTGTGAACGCTGCTGTGGTCAAGTCCATGTGTGTCCAGTTTCCTCTCCCAAGAGCATGTCCTGCAAGGGGGGTGGGGTTTACGATCAATGGTTAGATGTGCCTTTAAGACTTTTGACATGGATGGCCAAACTGCCCTGTGGAAGGAGCAGGCCGATCATGGTCCACCCAGCAGTATGGTTCTGTTTCTCTGGGTCAAGATGCTGCTGTCATCCTAAAATATCTTTGCCAACTGCATAGGTTTTTAAATGTTCTTTAATTTTTAGTCTTTTTTTTTTTTAGATTACTGCTGATGTTGAGTTTTTTGTTTTTTTCAAATGAGTTTCTTCTCCGTCCTGGCTCTTCTTTGTCAGTTCTCACTCACTGTTGTTTGATTTACCTGCTCTTTATATGTGGCCTTAGCCTGTACTACAGTTGCCAACCTTGTTTTGCTGTTATTTGCCTTTTACGTGAGGGGATTTTTCTATGATCATCGTTTCCCTCTCTGGTTCCTACCTCTCTCGTTATGTTTGGGAAGACATTCCTGATCCTAAGACTATATTTTTAAGTATATTATCCTGGGTTGATTCTGATAGTTTTACAATGTTGTGTGGATTGAACAAGAGCAAACAAGAGACGGACAGGTCGTGAATCGGAGCTGATGGCTTTACGGTGCCCCGTCTGCCTCCGAGCTGTCGTTCGTACGTCTATGTCCCGGGGACCTCAGACTGGACCTCAGCCTGCCCGGGAGGGTTTTCTCCCCTCGCTTCCTGTGGCACAGGCCGCCCAGGCCTGGCCGTGCAGCCTGTGTGACGCCCGTGTGCTCTGTCTGCAGACCAGCCTGGCTCACAGACTCGTGGCGCGAGAGGGCTCAGTGGGCCCACTGCCCCTCTACACGTCGCCGTCGCTGCCCAACATCACGCTGGGGCTGCCCGCCACCGGCCCCTCTGCGGTAAGTGGGCGCCCCCGGGTCTGCAAGGCGGTGGTGCGGGCAACCCCCGCCCCAGGCCCCTGACCCCAGCGCCCGGCTGCATCTGTCTGTCCAGGGGGCTGCCGGCCAGCAGGAGGCTGAGAGACTGGCCCTCCCCGCCCTGCAGCAGCGCATCTCCCTCTTCCCCGGCACCCACCTTGCCCCCTACCTGGGCGCGGCGCCCCTGGAGCGGGACGCGGGGGCGGCCCCCAGCTCCCTCCTGCAGCACGTGGTCCTCCTGGAGCAGCCGCCTGCACAGACACCCCTTGTCACAGGTGAGCGGGCCGTGTCAGGCCATCAGGGGCTCCCCTGGAGGGTGGGCAGGTGACCTGTCCCATGCCAGGCGGTGGCCTGAGAGACCAAGTCCACTCACAGAGCCAGAGGCATGGAAGCCAGAGCATCAGACACACCTTCTAGTTGATTTCCCCAGAGCAGGTTGTCAGCCCCTGACATGTCTGCCCTTGGGTGCTCAGGGCTGGCCCTGGCGGGCAGTGGATTCATCAGCAGTAACGTTTTTTTAAAACGTGCCCCGTCTAAGGGGTGGTTATGTTTAGAAAAAAAATTAGGGCTTTCCTGGTGGCTCAGATGGTAAAGACTCTGCCTGCAATGCAGGAGACCCAGGTTCGATCCCTGGGTCGGGAAGATCCCCTGGAGGAAAGTATGGCAACCCACTCTAGTATTCTTGCCTGAAGAATCCCATGGACAGAGGAGCCTGGCGGGCCACAGTCCACAGGGTCACAAAGAGTCAGACATGATTGAGCGACTCACACACGCACACACACACACACACACACACAGATTTGCTATAAAATTTGCACAGCAACAGCAGTGTAAAGGTGTTACTTTCCAAGTGACAGAGTGCTCAGGGTTTGCTGTGAAATGAGGGGGCCCCACTGCAGAGCTGACCTCCCAGGTCCAGGCACCATCCAGCTGGGTCTTCAGCTTCCTCCCCAGGTTTTAGCAGGGCCGACAGAGCCCCCAGTATCAGCATCAGCAGGGGAGTCCCCCTCAGCTGTTGGTTGCCCTGGTGGTGACGTTTGGTTTTATCATTCTCAGCATTCACCCTCGCCCTCTCCCTTACTTCCTGACTGGCCTGTCTGTCCTCCCCGGGGTCTTGTGGGCCCTTCCCTGCCCCCCACTCCCTCCCTGTTCCCAGGCTCCCTGGGGTCACCTTACACTCTTGTAGGCAGGCCAGGAAGCCCCCCCAGGTTCAGAGCTGTGGCCGTTCACATTGACACTGAAAGTTGTGGGTTTTTTCACTTTGTTTTTCTCTTTACACTTTTTATTTTGNGGGTCACCTTACACTCTTGTAGGCAGGCCAGGAAGCCCCCCCAGGTTCAGAGCTGTGGCCGTTCACATTGACACTGAAAGTTGTGGGTTTTTTCACTTTGTTTTTCTCTTTACACTTTTTATTTTGTATTGGGGTATAGCCAATTAACAAACAATACTCCGTGGTGGCTCAGACAGTAAAACGTCTGCCTGCAATGCGGGAGACTCAGATTTAATCCCTGGATCAGGGAGATTCCCCTGGAGAAGGGAATGGCAACCCACTCCAGTATTCTTGCCTAGAAAATCCCATGGACAGAGGAGCCTGGCGGGCTACAGTCCAGAGGGTTGCAGAGTCGGACTCGACTGAGCAACTAACGCTTTCACTTTCATAGCCACTTTCATAGTGAAAATCTCCCTTTCATTGTTAACAATGCAGTGACAGTTTCAGGTGAGCAGTGGAGAGACCCAGCCACTCATCCACACGTATCTGTTCTCCCTCAAACCCGCCTCCCATCCAGACTGCCACACCACCCGGAGCGGAGTTCCATGTGCTTCTCACCAGGTCTGTTAGCGCCCCATTTTAAACACAGCAGTGTGTGTGTGTCCATCCCAAACTCCTCGACGACCCCTGCCCCCGTCCCTCCCCCGGACAGGGGCAGTTAAAAGCAAAGGCCAGGTGTGGCTTCTCCATCCCACGTGTGACTCGCCACCTGCTCGCGTGGCCACTGGCTGAGGCATTGCACTGCAATGCAGTGCACCCCGACTCGGGGTGCAGGCTCGCTCAGCGCTGACGGGGCCCACGTCGCCTTCTGCACGCCCGGCCTCAGGGCCCTTCCCCCGTGTCAGGCCCAGCTCGGGGGCCTCCCAGGCACTCAGTACGGGCAGTTTCCGTGTGCACCTCCGTCCCCCGGAGCGCAGACGCCAATTACCTTGCACATCCCCTCCCGACACCCCTTCAGCGTCTGCTGCCGGAAGGGTCACGGTGGATACCTCTGCGGTGGCTCCTGGCACCAGGCGGTGTCTGAGCCGCGTCAGGAAGGGTCGGGCGCGCGCTGCAACCTGGCTTCTGTTAGGTTCTCTGAGGTTCCCAAGGGCTCAGCGCACAGACCTGCCTGCTTGCTGGTGGTCACTGTGGACAGACAGACGCTGTCAGCGCTAGGCCCACGTCATTCCGCAAAGGCTGACCGTGCTGGAGGAGCAGCCGGCCCGGGTCCATCGGGGAGCGGGCGTGCGGCTTTGGGTTCCACGTGGTGCCTGCTCAGAGTGGCTCCCGCAGCCCGGGTCCTCGCCGCTGCAGGAGGCTCCTGACAGCCAGTGATTGTGTGCTCCAGTCTTCTCCTGAAAAGAGCCCAGTTCCCCGGACAGTCCCCAGGTTGAGCTCTGAGCAGCTGGTCAAGGTGGGGTGTGCAGGTCCACACACCCCAGTTTTAAAGACTCTTTAGGTCGGGCAGCGGGTGTTGTAAGGACTCAGGCCACAGGAGTCACCTGTCTCATGTGGGTTCCACGTGAGAGTCCACGTGGACTGAAAAGGATCCCCAAGGCCGGCGCTGCAGAACCAGACTTTTCAGCTTCTCATTTTCTTTAACCCCCGTTCCTGTGGGGGCGTCCATGCGGCAGCTCTGTTTGCAGATTCGCTTACTGTTAGTGCAGGTGAAGGAAACCTTCAACCCAGGTGTCCGCGGAGGGCTGGGTGCTCACCGGGAACTCCCATCCCCTTGTCCTCTTCATCTCCTGCTCCAGAGAGGACCTCCGAGGAGGCCGGCCTGCCCTGTCCCCGGGGGGAGCCGCTCGGCACTCGCCCCCCTCGGGTCCCTTCACTGGGGCCAGGCCCGCAGGCCGCCTGGGCCCCGCTGTCCCAGCCTCCGCAGGCCAGCTGGTCACTGGGACAGAACTGGATCCTAGTCTACTGGGCCCTCATGCTTGGAAGTTTCACAGCACATACAGAAAAACCAACCAGTTTCCAGTTACCATCAAAGGCTCCTGTGAATAGTCTGAGGAGTCATCTTCCGGTTCTGAACCAGAAGCTTCTGAGCTCAAGTGTGGCCTGTCCACACTGGACCAGGTGTGGGGTCCCTCTCCTGGAAGGTCAGATCTCCAGTTTTAAGGGATGCCAAGCACGACATCTGTCCTCGAGTGTGGGGGCCCTGCAGATTTACCCCCCGCCCCTGGAAGCACTACAGCCTAATCTGGGGTGAAGGGGATGGAGGTGAGGGGAGGGAGCAGAACCAGACCGGGGTCCAGCCTGAACAGCTGGGGCTCCGTGTAGACACTGGCTACCCTGGCGTCGGGGACTGGAAGTCAGGCCTCTCCATGGCTAGCCGCCCGCACCCTACGGGGACAGAGGCCTGTGTTCTCAGGGTGGTGTCGTCCTGGCGAAGGCGGGCTTCTGGGCCAGCATCAAGCCGCCAGAGCCCCAGTCGCAGGGAGGGGGCCCTGGAGCAGCAGCAGCAGAAACCAGAGTCCCCGCCTTGCCAGCTCACTAGGGACCCTGGTTGCCTAACCTGGGTCACAGCAGGTGCTGGATCTCTGGAATGAGTGTTTCCTCCTCCAAAACCGAGAGACGCTTTCCTGCGGGTACCACGCAGGGCTGGCCCGGTGGCCCCAGCGCAGGGCTTTGCAGCCCCACCGTCTATGACATCCTCACTCTCGGGGGCCCAGGAAGCTTTAAAAACAAGTGATGTCTTCTGAGAGGGTGCCTTTCAGTAACTAGGTGGACTTTTAATCCTGTAAGTGCAGCATCCAGTGGCTGACATCCTTCCTCCCTCCATGAAATGATTTGTGTGCCTGCTAAGTCACTTAGGGCTTCTCTGGTCACTCAGCTGGTAAAGAATCCACCTGCAAGGCAGGAGACCCTGGTTCGATCCCTGGGTCAGGAAGATCCGCTGGAGAAGGGAAAGGCTACCCACTCCAGTATTCTGGCCTGGAGAATTCCATGGACTGTATAGACTGAGTGACTTTCACAGTCATGTTCGACTCTATGCCACCTCATAGACTGTAGCCCGCCAGGCTCCTCTGTCTGTGGGATTTTCCAGGCAAGAATAGTGGAGTGGGTTGCCATGCCCTCCTCCAGGAGATCTTCCCAACCCAGGGATTGAACCCACGTCTCTTATGTCTCCTGCATTGGCAGGAGGGATCTTTACCACTAGTGCCACCTGGGAAGCTGGTGAAATTATTTAATCCCCCCTAATACCCAGACCAAATGAAATAAAGTGAAAGTGAAGTCTCTCAATCATGTCCGACTCTTTGCGACCCCATGGTATGTAGCCTGCCAGACTCCTCCATCCATGGGATTCTCCAGGCAAGAATACTGGAGTGGGTTGTCATTTCCTTCTCCAGGGGATCTTCCCGACCCGGGGATCGAACCCAGGTCTCCTGCATTGCAGGCAGACTCTTTACTGCCTGAGCTACCAGACCAACAACTGATGAATTCCGAAAGACCTTCTCTACACAGATGCTGTGTTTTTGTTTGTTTTTAACTTTTCTATCGATAGAAAACCAAGGAAAGAATGGTTCTACCTTTTGACTTACATACTTCAGTTTACTAGCCAAGCAGATAGTGAGGTTTAGGATAATTTACCTTTCCAGAAAACTATCTGGGTTGGATAAAAAGTGATGGTGGTTTAGGGAAGCTCTGATTAACTTTTTGAAAAGGTAGTGAGGGACTATTTTGCTAGGGTTGGATTTTTTTTTTTTTTCTGTTTGTATACAAAGTAGAACTCAATACAGAAATAACCCCCAGGAAGGAACCAGGAAAAGACTGACAGTCAGTACCCACTGGAGGGGGCTTGGGTTCGACTAAACACGGCAACACAGCCCCTCCCAGGAATCAGCATTGCAGGTGGCTGAGAGCTGGCAGGGTCTGTCCACCTGTGGTTTCTCCTGGTCAGACGCTTTGATCTGGGGTCACTGGTAGCTCGAGTGATGTTTAGTTTCTCCAGCTCTGGTGCCAGGAAACAGATACTCAGGTGGCCTGGGAAGGGTCTGTTACACTCTTTTGCCTATGGTACCAGGGAAAATGGTAAACTGTCTAAACCCACAATTTGTAAAAGAAAAAGTATTGATGGTTGAAAGGAATATAGAAGGATAACATTTCACCTCTTGGTTCACATGAGGAGGTTGCATTTTGAAGCGAGATTCAAACACAGATTCAAACCTACCCTCTTCCGTCCACACATTCTTAAACACTCAGCCCAGACACGGTGCGGCCGAGCGGCCCTTCTCCCGGGCAGCAGGTGACAGCCTTTCCCAGAAATTGGCAGAGATTTTGACAACGTGCATCAGATTTTTCTCAAGTGTTGATCCCTCTTTGTGCATAAAATGGAGGCCTTGAGCCCCTTAAAGTGGTTTGGTCCTTAAGGGCAGGTCCTCACACCCAGGTTTCTGAGGCTGTCAGGGAGGCGCCCACTCGCTGCTTCTCCAGAACATTCTGGAGCCACCAGGCCCTGGCCCCTTCCTCAGCCAGGCCCCTCTGAGGGCGCCTGTGCTGGGGCCGCCCTCGGAGCCCATTTACGGCCTGGACCTGGGTATGGGGGGACCAGATGACTGGTCTCCGTCCCTAAGTCCAGGTTCCGGGTGGTCAGTGTGCCGGAGCAGGCCCGGCGGGCTTCAGGGAGGCGGCGGCGGCGGCCGGCCTCCGTCAGTCACTCACCAGGCCTCCCCCCTCCCTCTGCTCCTCCCCTCCCCGTGCTCTCTCCAGACCGCTACCTTGCAGGCCTGGGCGCGCTGCCCCTGCACGCGCAGCCCCTGGTGGGGGCGGAGCGCGTGGCGCCCTCGGTGCACAAGTTGCGGCAGCACCGCCCGCTGGGCCGCACGCAGTCGGCGCCGCTGCCCCAGAGCGCGCAGGCGCTGCAGCACCTGGTCATCCAGCAGCAGCACCAGCAGTTCCTGGAGAAGCACAAACAGCACTTCCAGCAGCCCCAGCTGCACCTCAACAAGGTGAGACGCGGGGCGGGGTCGGGGGACGTGGGGGCGGGGCCGGAGAAACACGTGGGCGGCGAGCAGCTTTTCCCATTTGGGGTCATGAAGGAGGCAGAAATGGGGTGGGCTGTATGCCTGAGGCATCTGCATCCTTGGGTGGTTTATTCTACTTGCCCCTCATGGGTCTCTGGGATTTCTTAAGGGGATTTATCCTCTTAAGCAAACTCGAGCAGAGTGCCGAGCAGAGGCACGGGGCCCCGCAAGCACAGGTTCCAGGCCCTTGGATGCTGGCGCTCTTCCTGCCCACTGCAGCCACCTCGGCCAAAGGGCTCCTGCCCAGAGGTCTTCGTCCCTCCGTCCAACGTCTGGACGGTCACTCCCAGCCTGCGCTCAGCAGGAAGCGGCCCTGAGGTCACTGTGGCCCTCCTTGCTGGTTACTAAAGCAAGAGCAGCAGTTTCAGATGCTGGTTCCAAATGCTGACGCTTGAAGCAAAGCCCGTTTCTGATAGAGAATGAGAGGGACCACTTTGGAAGGCTGTCCAGCAGTTCCTCCAAAGGTTAAACGCAGAGCGACCACATTGCCCGACAGCTTCTGTCCTGGGAGAATTGGAGGCCCTGAACAAACAGCCAGATGACCCAGACCAGGCCCTACTGCCCGCCCAATCGCTCAGACAGAGGCTCAGCATCCCCGCCCCAGAGCCACTCTGCCTGGCAGGTTCCCCTACCAGATGGCACAGGGCGGGGTCAGGCGTGGGTGGGGCAGCTGAACGCAGCCCCGTGGGGCAGGAAGGGCACCTGTCAGGGTGGGCAAGACGGATGCCAAAGTGTCAAAGTCACTTCCTGTCACCTTGCTGATGCCAACCGTCTTCTTAATTGTGTTATGTTGTTATCTGAGTGATAGGGTAGGAGACTAGAAAGACAGGAACACCTGTTCACGTGTGGTATGTTCTTCAACAGAGAGACAGAAGCAGGCTGATCTCTCTGGATTTCACTCCGTGATTGATTTGCTGTCAGCAGCAACAGCTGATTGAAATGTTTATATACTGATCTCCCGGAGGGTGCAGGGAGCTGGCAGTTGTATCTGGCACTGCCAGCACCGACATTTCTGCCCTCTGTCTTTTGGGCCCATGGCCTGAAGGCTCCTGAGCCAAGGCCCACAGCCCCACCCCACAGCCCTGGCTGGAGTGCACCAGGGTCTCAGCCATTCTTTGCGTGGGTTACTGCTCCTCAGCTCAATTGTGAACATGAACTCTGGGTCCCATTTGTTTGGGCATCTAATGGTGAGCGTGTCCAGTAACCTTAAACACTGGCCTGCTCACCAGTTTGGTCTGGGCCCTGAACTCCAGTCTGGCTTTTAGAAGCTTGTTGTTCCAAAAGTGGAGATACCTCCATTCTCATTTAGTTGATGAGAGGGTACTCCTGAGGTCCAGAAGGCCCTGGGGAGACAGAATGGATCTGTGTGTGCCCTTTGCTGCTGGGTCACCGTGGCCGTTCCCAAGGTCACATGTGCCCACTCAGAGCTGACCTCCTGGCAGGGCCTGGGGCAGCCCTGGCTCCTCCAGGATCAGACACTGCTTCTCCAGGTCCCCTGCAGGGGCCCCACCCGCCCCCTCGACGTCCCCTGGGTGAGCCTCTCCCCTGCTCCTTGTGTCTGCATGCCCTTCCAGGCTCTCAGCCACCCTAGTTCCGCAAGCCTGGCCTGGAGCATCCGTGCTCCCCACCTCCATTTCCCATTTGCCTGCTTCTTCCTAACCATCACCTCCAGTCCTGGCCCATTGCCCAACCCTTCGCTCGGATCCCCCTTCCCGGGACAGCCCCTTGCAGGTCGCCCAGAGTCTGGGTCTCAGCCTCTCTGCCACAGGCCCGGTCCCCTGCCCAGCCCACCCCAGCCTCCCCCTCTGCAGCTGTCCTCAGGCCCCTGGCCTGGAACCCCCGGGGCCTCCCGGTGCGCCCTCTGCTGACCTTCTGTCCCCTCCTGGCTGAGCCCCCAAAAGGTCATTTCTCTGCAGGCAGTCCCCTGACCCCACCCGTTCTCAGCCTGACTCTTTGGGATCTTCCCACAGCAGAGAGGAGCTTGCCTCCCGCTCTGAGAAGGCACCTGCCTCCCAGACCGTCGTCTGGAGGCTTAAGTCTGTGGTTTTGGGGCTCCTGTCCCCGCGTCCTCCCCCACTGTCCACGCCCTGTCGCCATGTCCTCCCCTGATGTCCACGCCCTGTCCCCACGTCCTCTTCCCTGACTCCCACCCAGTGTCCACAGCCTCATCTCTCACAGCCTCATCCTGGAGCACATCACAGGGGCCTTGGCCGCTCCTGCCCTCCCCCGTCCTTGGTCCCTCCCCATTGCTCTGCTGTGATGTCTACTCACCAGTCTGTCCCCCAGCCACCTTCCCAGGCCCTGCGCTCCCCAAACCTCCCATCAACCCCAGCCTGTTACCTGTCGGACTCTGCACCAGACACTGGGGGATGACAGCAATGCGAGCACTTTGACCCCGCAGACCCTAAAGCTGAGGCTCCTGATGCCACCTGCTGAGGTTTCCAGGCCCCTGTGGACCTGGGGGGCCTGGGAGGGGCCCAGCGCCCTCTGCTGGTGGAGATGGGTCCTCCTGCTGCCAGCTCTTTCGGGCAGTCGTGGTCTCACCCCCAGTGGACTCTGTCCGGGCACAAAGCTCATAGTGGGGCCTCACTGACTCCAGGTATGTGGGAAGCAGATGAGATAGATCCCCAAATCTTCAAAGACAGATTTTCAGAGCACTTTTTTGGATGAACTGCTGTGAGAAGTCTGTCAAATCAGCAGCTGTGAGGTTGGAGGATTGTTTACTCGAAATGGTTCAGAGCCTGTCTGCCCCCTGCTCACCCCGTGGCTTTGCCCCCACTCATACCCCTCACCTTCCGCTGAGCACAGACCTGCTCCCGGAGCTGTAGCTTCCGTGTTCCGGCTGGATTGGCACTTCTGAGCAGATGCTGCCTGGGGGCGGATGTAGAGAGGGACTGGGGCCTGCCTTCACAGCGTGCTTCCTTTGCGGAGCTTTGCACAGCAGCTTAGGCGATGGTCGCTAGAGCAAGTCCCTGGCCCAGTGGAAACTGTTCGCTCAGCAAAGCCAGCCAGCTGCTCCGGAGGGTCAGTGGCCCAGTCCTCCTCTGGGGCATGGCCCTGGGGCCCGCGGTGCGGCTGAGCCCGGCTGGTTACCGTGAATGCAGCCCCGGCGCCAGCACAAGTGTCCCCAGTCCTCCCATCATGGGCCGGGCTGCGCGCGTCCAGTGTGGGTCAGGGTGCAGGTGGTTCTGTGAGGACTTTTTAAAGCATAAGGGCTCAGGACTAAAAACTTGAGGCTTCCTGGAAGCCCTTGGTTTCCTTCTAGAAGCAGAGTCAGGATGTGGAGAAGGGCCCGTCCTCCCTGGCAGGGCGGGGCTATTGCACGTGGAAATTCAGCGGGGTGGGGTTGGGGGAATGTGGTGTGCCGGCTGCAGGCTCTGGGCCAGCAGCACGGGTGAGCAGACTCAGAGGCCACCTGGAGGAGAGGGTCCACGTGGTGCCTGGGTGTGAGCTGGTGGGGTGGCGGGTGGGGGAGGCTGTGACTGAGAAGGAAGGAGGGTGCACACCCCCCCGCCCCCACTTCACATGCAGGTGTGGACGTGGGTCGACACCTTGCGATTGTGGTGAGTGATTTGCATTGTGATTCACTGTGCCTGGCAAACAGGCACATGATAGCAGGTCCCAAGCTCTAGGCTGTGTTTTTTCTCAGCACCACGGACAGTGCCCAGCTGTGTGTGTGTGTGTGTGTGTCTGTGTGTGTCTGTGTGTGTCTGTGTGTGTCTGTGTGTGTCTGTGTCTGTGTCTGTGTCCTGTCCTGCACCCCGTTGATCCTGAGACGTGGGCTCTGTGTGTGTCTGAGTGTGTGTGTGTCTGAGTGTGTGTGTGGGCCGTGATCGTATAGTGGTTAGTACTCTGCGTTGTGTGAGTGTGTGTGTGTCTGTCTGTGTGTGTGTCTCTGTGTGTCTGTGTCCTGTCCTGCTCAGCCCAGGGTGACAGCGTCCTCAGACGGTCAGCCCCATTGATCCCGAGATGTGGACTCTGTGACCACCCCCTTCCTGTCTCAGCACCTCCCTCACCCCCATCCCACCACACTCCACCTGGTACCCTTGTGTTGCAGATGATCCCCAAACCCAGCGAGCCGGCCCGGCAGCCTGAGAGCCACCCCGAGGAGACGGAGGAGGAGCTGCGGGAGCACCAGGCGCTCCTGGAGGAGCCCTTCCTGGACCGGCTCCCGGGGCAGAAGGAGGCCCACGCGCTGGCCGGGGTGCAGGTGAAGCAGGAGCCCATCGAGAGTGACGATGAGGAGGCAGAGCCCCCACGGGAGGCAGAGCCCGGCCAGCGGCCGCCCACGGAGCAGGAGCTGCTCTTCAGACAGGTGCCCGCAGAGCGGGGGGACGGGGAGTAGGGGGTGAGCAGGGCCCGTAGAGCAAGTCCAAGGGCGTTGTCCTCCACACCTGCTGGTCCAGGCCCCCAGCTTTCCCTGCTGATACAGGAGGCAGATGTGATGTGAGCTCTGCTTTGCAGGCATCACCCCAGAGACACTGGCCCTCTGTCCACCGCGTGTATTTGTGCACCTGCTTCTCAGCTAAACAGGCCCCAGACTCCCTAGGGATGGTTCCCTTTCAGGCCCAAAGGCTGCAGATTAACCCAAATCTGAGTGCTAGCATAGAAGGGTATGAAGGGGGCTGACTGCTGACTTGATCATTGATCAAGAAGGTTCGCAGCGTCTGGCCAGAAGCCAGGACCTTTGGGGTCAAGAAGACACTAGTGACTGTGTTAGAGGCCTGAGTGCCCCCAGGGAGCGGTCTTGTTCCTGAGAAACTGGGCCGGGGCGTCCGAGGGGTGGAGTCTAACACCTAACGGTGTGCTTCATCGTGGAGCTCTGCACCTGGGGTGTGGAGCCCTGGCTCATCCAACCCTCCCCGTGGGCCCGGTGCTGGCCACCCAGGCAGACTCCTTCTCCCCCGACAGCCCAGGGGTGCCTCCCCCACCACTCCTGGGGCCAGGGTGGGAGGTGACACCCAGGCTCAGCGCCTCGGTTTCCCAGGAGCCCCTCTCAGGTAGCCGGCCAGCCTTCTCCCTGGCTCCGCATTTAAAGGCGGGGCCACAGGTGGCTGCTGGTCACTTTTGCTAGTCCTAATTCGGAGGGCTTCCTGTCTCACATCTCAGCCGCAGTGTTAGCACTAAACCCCTGCTCTTCTAGGGGCCCTGGAGCCAGTGCTAACGACAGCAAGGAGATCAGGGCAGGGGAAGCCACTGTCCCCGCTGCCGTGTAGACTCACTCCTGCAGTGTGAGCACGCCAGGCAGGCCATCCGAACGATGGGGACTGCGGTGGGCCTCGTTCCTGCGCTGGGGGCTTAGGTCAGGGCCTCACTCGTTCACAAAGTAGGCAGCCTCCTCTTATGACTGGAGTTCAGCGTGCTGTTACTGTGCTGGCTTGAAACTGGGAGGCTGTTTTTAGGGCTGGTGGTGTCTCGCCAATGATAAGGTGGTCAGCATTCTCTTAGGGGATTTATCTGTGTGCTCCGAGCCTGAGACAGTGATCAGAGGCACTGGGGATCTGGTTCTCGGGAGAACCTCAAGCAGAGCTCGTCTTGGGGGAACGCGGTGGCACACGCAGCAGTCTGCAGAGTCACCTTGAGACAGGCACCTGCTCCATAGGCGGCAGGTGTGAGGTCTGCAGAGGCCTCAGGAGGAAGCGCCTGCGGAGGGAGGCCCAGGGCGGGGGCTATGCCTGCCCCTGCAGGGCGGGCTCCAAAGTAGGGTGTCCTGCCCTTCCCCCCTCGGCTGGAGGGGGGAGACCCCCCTGCAGGGAGGAGACCCCCTCGGGTCCCTACAGAAGCAGCCGTGCTCCCAGCAGGGCCGGGCAGGCCCCCCACCCATCCCACCACCTCTCCCCGGGTTCCACGCACCTCCCTGGTGGACCAGGACCCGCCTGGTCCCTGCCTTCGCACCCCCGAGTGCCTCCCCCCACCACCCTCTGCCTGGGTATTGCCGCCCCACCCCCCAGGTGTCACCTCCTCAGGGAGCCCTCCACGGCCCCCCGTCAGCTCTGAGCGGGCTTTTCCACTGACGGTCTGTCTACCCACGGGGATGTCCAGACTCATCCGTCGGCAGGGTCCAAGGCTGCCGCTTCGCTGGCTGTCCTCCTGGCCCGGGGGGCAGGCTTCTCCCCAGCAGCCTGGCATAAGGCTCTGCACTGGGAGCCCAGGGGCGGGGGGGTGGAGGGTCTGGGAGAGAGGGGACCTGTAGCCCTGCAGCTGGGGACGGGAGACGCCGGGAAGCAACAGAGCGGCCCCTTTCCTCCGCCCCCAGCAAGCCCTCCTCCTGGAGCAGCAGCGGATCCACCAGCTGAGGAACTACCAGGCGTCCATGGAGGCCGCCGGCATCCCCGTGTCCTTCGGCGGGCACCGGCCCCTGTCCCGGGCGCAGTCCTCCCCCGCGTCCGCCACCTTCCCCATGTCCGTGCAGGAGCCCCCAGCCAAGCCGAGGTTCACCACAGGTACTGTGGAGTGGGGTGTGGAGGGCCAGGGGAGGGCAAGGGCCCCCGCTCAGAGGAGCCGCAGCTGCAGACCCAGGGCTGCCACAGCTGCAGACCCAAAGCTGCCGGGCCGGAGGGCGGCTCAGTCTGGGCGAGGCTCCCGGGTCATGCCCACCCCTGGGCCCGCCCCCACCAGGCAGCTTCCCGCCCAGGGTCTGTGGGGTAGTGACCTTGCCCTCCTTCGTCCGCCCTGTCCTTGGGCCGAGCCTCCGCCCAGGGCCCTGCCCATGAGGCCCAGGCGACCCCTGGAGCGTGCAGCTAGAGTGGGCGCAGGGGGCGGTCGGTCCCGGATGCTCTCTCTCCACTCCTGGACGGCCCACGGCACTGCTCCTGCCTGCGGTCTCGCCTCACGCCCCACCCGCAGCCTCCCAACCCTGCAGAAGTCTGCGGGCGGGACTCTCTCCTCCTGAAAGCATTCCTGCAGAGTCAGGGTGGAAGTCTGCAGCCGGGCGCAGCATCCTCCGGGGTCGAGGCGCTAGACTGGCTGTCTGGGCCTAGGGGGCCCTGCCGCCGGCCCCCACCCCGCCTGGGACGGAGGGCCCCCAGGACAGTGCCTCACCCTGTCCTCTGCTAACGCGTCAGGTGTTTCTTCCCATGGACACACTCAGAACAGGTTATCTAAACGCAGTTCCATTTCATCCCCCGCCATCAGTTCTCACGGAACACACTGTTTCTCTGCACGCTGTAACATGCAAACGTGGCTACGTTCTCCTTGTCAGATTTTGGAAGGATACTGATCATATTCGGAGAAGAGTTTCATAGTCAGTTTCCAGAAGTTAAATTCCTGCTTTTCAGAAAGAAAACCAGATAACTATAAGGTGTCACAAGGAGAGTCAGCAGGTGATTCTTTAAGAGCGAGTCCTTGGCATCGGCTGAGCTGGGCCCGTGCTTAGAAGGCACAGCTCAGACGACCCCAGGAGCCCAGTGGAGAGGCTCCCACATCGTGTGTGCCCCCGGGTGCTCAGGGGTCCCCACAAGGGAGCCCGCGGGCAAACATGATGTCACCACGAGTGTTCTGGCCGGCGAGCCCCGCTCTGTCGCTGTTTCTTAGTTTGTCTTCATTATTCCCTTTTTAAAAACTTATAAAACAGTGCATATTCCTTCTAAGAAAGCACACAGGATGGAAACCCTGAGAAGGTAGCAGGTGGCCCTGACCCTACCCCTGGGGGAGCCATTGTCAGTGTCAGGTCCCATGTCCAGGGTTGTGTCTGCGCTAGCCAGACAGACAGGTAGACACGAACATGGTGTATTTCATGAAGACAGGACCCTGTGGGGCCCGCGCTGCTGTGGGTCTCTGTGGGCCTCTTCCCGCGGCCACATGCATCTCCCCGGGGTCCTGGCCGCTCCCTGCTCGCTCTCTGCCGTTCCCCATCTGCGAAAGGGGCGCAGGTGGCTTCGCCTTGAAGTTCCCGCCTCGCACCCGGTGAGCAGCAGCATGTGACTGTGTCACTGTGATGCCGCCGGTGGGGCCCGTGTCCTGGTGCTGACCGGCCTCCGGGCTGTCCACACAGGCGCACCTGCAGTCCATGCGGACGGGCGTGTGCCTCTGTGTTGCCCTCAGTCTGGTCCTGGCCTGCTGCTCTGTTATTGGAAGGCCGAGCCCCACCCTTCCCCGCCCCACTGTCTAGGCTGATTTCACATGCAGTTGTGTCTGTGTGTGTGTGTGTGTGTGTGTGTGTGCGCGCGGGCGCGCACACGCACGTGCACTCCTGTCCAGCGGCTCTGCAAGGTTCCGCAGGCAGAAACAGCCTTCTGAGCCCCGAGTACCTCGGACGGATGGATCTCAGTCCACAGAAGCAAACAACTCCATAGACAGGGTCCCTGGCAGACTTGAGTTTGCGACCAAAATCTCCGCGATGTCTGGGTCGGCCCGGTCCCTGTGATGTGAGAGCCCTGAGCCCTGGGGACAGGGCTGCCTTTTCATTTCTTCCTCCCTCACTGGCTCCCCCGGGTGTTGAGGACTCTGAGTGTTGGGCAAGTGCCCTGAGCACGGGCTCAGCTCCCCTGGCAGGGGGACCAGCTGCCGGGGACCCCGAGGGCTCCTCTGACCGCGGCCGCCGCTGCCTCCCCTGCTGCAGGCCTCGTGTACGACACGCTGATGCTGAAGCACCAATGCACCTGCGGGAACACCAACAGCCACCCGGAGCACGCCGGGCGTATCCAGAGCATCTGGTCACGGCTGCAAGAGACTGGCCTTCGAGGCAAATGCGAGGTGAGGCCAGCCCTGCGGGCAGCGCGAGCCAGGGCATGAGTGTGATGACCTGGGGGACACGGGGCCCCTGCGGAGAGCCAGGGCGTGTGTGTGATGACCTGGGGGACGCGGGGCCCCTGCGGAGAGCCAGGGCGTGTATGTGATGACCTGGGGGACGCGGGGCCCCTGCGGGCATCGCGAGCCAGGGCATGAGTGTGATGACCTGGGGGACGCGGGGCCCTTGCACAGGCAGACACGCAGGCCTGCCCTCTGGAGGACCCTGAGGGGCCCTTCCCTGAACCCCTCTCACACACTCTCCTTCCTGGCCATCCTCTGGGAAGCCTGCCCCTCGCCAGGCTCCCTCTCATCGCCCAGGATGCACGGCCAGGCCATCCCAGGGCCTCTGCCACCAGGATGGGATCTGGTGGCCCTGCTCTGGGGGAGGACCGTCGTTTCTGTTGGCTCCTCATCGAAGGTTCCCTTCCTTGAGTTTTTGAGAAAGCTCCTCTCGGGATGAGGGTAGAGCCTCAGGCCTGCAGGGCAGGGGCGGTGCACAGACTGGTCTGTCTGCCTGGGATTCAGTCCCCACCCCTGCACCCCTGAGCATGCGGCCCTGGAGGACAGGTCTGCTGAAGGATCCTGGGAGGTCCCTGCACCCTTCTGATGCAGGAGTGTGGCCACCATAAGGGACTTGGGGCCTGGGGCGGGGGGGCAGGGTAGAAGGGTATCTGCCCAACCAGGGGGACTCCGGGCTGTGGGCACCATAGCACCGTCATCTGTGGGGCAGGCAGGCGGCACCACCTCCCGGGAGCCCTCCACGATGGCGGGGCCCGGCCTCCCGTGTGCCCACCCGGTGGGGACCTGCTGTGTCCCCCACACTGTGGACCCCACGAACCTGGGATAGGGTTCCGGCAAGGCGGTGCTGCCCTGCAGGGTGGCCCCAGAAAGCCCGAGCCTGTGGCTGAGCAGAACCGTTCTGTCCATCCTCCGGGGCCCAGCGCCGCCTGGAGGGCGCGGTCAGAGCCCGCTCCCTGTCTGCCCTTCCCTCAGGACAGGGTGTTTAGGAGCTGAGGCCAGCCCGTCTCTGGTGACCCCACGTCTTTGTCAGCTTATGGCAGCCCACGATCTCTTCAGGAGAAAGCTCGAGGTCCGGGCCCACAGTGCGGCCCTGGAGTCCCTCTGGAGAGAGCACAGGGACCCCAGGCGGCAGGGCTGAGGCGGCCGCACCTGCTTCCAAACGCAGTGAGGCCGCACCACTGGGGGGCAGCATCGGCCTGGCGGACGCGCCTCCTCCAGCCCGCCCGGCCTTCTCCCCACCGCTGAGCTGCCTCTGGGGCCCTAGGCTGCTTCTACATCGCTCACAGGATGGTCTCCTCAGGCCAGCGGCCGCCAGGGTGGTGTCAAGGCAGGAGCTAGGAGATGGGGGCGAGGACAGCAGTGCTGAGGGTGGCCACTGACGGCGCCGGCGTCCCCACATCCAGGAGGGGGCCTGCAGGACAGGCTGGCTGGGGGGACCCAGGGTGTGAGATATCGGCTGAGGGGAGACCCGGGGTGAGAGACACAGGCTGAGGGGACGGACCCGGGGTGAGAGACACAGGCTGAGGGGACGGACCCGGGGTGAAGAGACACAGGCTGAGGGGACGGACCCGGGGTGAGAGACACAGGCTGAGGGGACAGACCCGAGGTGAGAGACACAGGCTGAGGGGATAGGCCCTGGGTGAGAGACACAGGCTGAAGGGACGGACCCGGGGTGAAGAGGTGCTTCCACGCTGCTAATGATCGGAGGCAAGGCCTGCCCTCAGCTCACTTGGGAATGCTCACCATTCAGGGCACCTCCAGGTCAAGAGGACTGGCCCCGAGGGAGGGTGGTTAGTGGACCGGCTGTGCCGTGACTTCCTGAGGCCCCCAAGCCTCCCAGCCAGCACCCCCACTCCTTGGGTGGGCTCCCCTCTTTGAGCCACTGCAGTGTGGAAGGTCATGGGGTGGGTGGTAAACTTCCCTGCCACCTTGTACCCCTCCACCCTGGAAGTCAGGCTGGGAAAGGCTTGGCCACAGCCAGCGGCCTCAGGCTCCCTCTGCTTGGCCCCTGCTCAGCAGGCAAGCATCTCTGGGATCCTGTTATACTGTTAGAAGGGGTTCCAGGGCCCCTCAGGGGATTCCCAGGGGAGCGCAGCTCCTGGCCCACCTCTGCACGGGGTGCATCTGGCCCAGAGAGCCAAAGGCCTCCCCCCTGCACCCCGGAGTCCAGTCAGCTCCACCTGCATTATTCTAACTCTCAGAAAGTGTAAGGTGTTGACCGGAATCTTGGTTCACAAATCAGCCTCCTTCTCAAAGGTTAAGTAAACGTAGCTCAAGTCAAAGACAGTGGTGTTCGTGGTAATTTCTGGGGAATGTCTCAAAATAGCCGAAGGTCTGAGGAATTTCCAAAGTGAAGAAGCATGCAGACGGACACAGCCTGGGGTGTCAGGCTGGTTATGGGCCGCCTTCCCCTCCAGGAAGGCTCTCGATACCCAGGGAGCTGGTATCTGGCCTCGTGAGAGCTGAGCGCAGCCCCACGCGCCAGGCGGCTCCCATCTATGTTAAGACCAGACCCCCACAGCTGGAAAGCAAAATAACAATTTGTTGCCAAATCATTGATGTGACAGTGAGGGCTAAAGCGTTGAAGGCTGGGATTATCTTTTTTTTTTCCTAAAGTGTCTTTCTAAGTTCTAATTAAAGTATAAGTCCTCTAAAATATTTCCCAAATATTTTTCAAATATCATGTGCGGTGATGTTTGCTTTTGATTTCTCAACAACCAAGTCACACTGTGCTCGTGCGCATGTGAAACCCCGCTCCGTCTTGGGTGCTGTTTTGTTGCTACGGCTGACCGTCCCATTCTGTCCCGCAGTGCATCCGCGGACGCAAGGCCACGCTGGAGGAGCTACAGACAGTGCACTCGGAGACGCACGCCCTGCTCTATGGCACGAACCCCCTCAACAGGCAGAAACTGGACAGTAAGAAACTTCTAGGTATTTCAAGGCCTTCTTTACCTTTACCGCGAGGCTGCTCCTGGCCCTGCCCGCGCCAGAGGCCCGGCCGTCCCTCCCGGTGCCCTGGCTGGAGGCCGAGTGTCGCCCGCCAGGCTGTGAGTGGGCGGCGGGGGCAGAGGCAGCCCTTCTCCATCGTGCTCTCAGGTGAGGGTCTGAGGAGGAACCTGCCCTTGGCATTCATGTGGGTGCTTGGCTTCTTGCTTAGCATCGGGTATGTTGGGGAGCAAGCGGGCTGAGCACCGCTGGTTTTGCAGAATCTCAACTAGCTGAGTTGTGACAGGCGAGGCTGGTTGGGGCTCGCAGCCACCACGTGGCCACCCCTTTCTGGTCCTAGAGTCCACCTGGGGACGCTTGTCCGAGCTCCCAGGGGGACGGTGGCAGCCTGAGCCTTTCCCAGGGGCCGGGCTTCGTCTGGAGCAGGCAGCCCCCCAGATGAAGTGGCGGGATCTGGGCCTGATGGAAAGAACGCCTTCCCTCTTGGGAGGTGGTTAGGGTCCCCATAAAGCAGGTGGGGCTGACAGACAGGTGGAGTCCCCAGGCTCGCAGGGGCAGAGCCCCTCATCAGAACACTTCCTGGACAATTTCCACCCACCACCACCACCACCACTTCCCAATCACCTTGAGCCAGGACAGTCACCAACCCTGGGTTTCCCTGCCTGTCCCAGCCCCCTGGGGTGCGATACCCCTTGGGGCTCTTCCCTGAGCCAAGGCGGGCAGAGAGGGTCCTGGAAGCAGACTCTGGGGTCCCGCTGGGGTCGGGGGAGATGGGCGGTGCCCTGTTTGCTCTCATTTCCAGGGAGGACGTGGAGAGGGTCGGCCCTATGCCTGGCCCTCACTGCATGGGTGTCACCCCCCCCCCAGGGACCCTGCAGTGCAGCCCCACCACCTCCCTGTGCACCCGCAGGCCCCTTCACCCCCTCGTACACGCAGGGAACACATCTTTCCTGCTGGGTACCTTGTAGGTGCTGAGTCCTTGGAAAGCACAGAGCTGGAGGCGGGGTGCAAGAGGAAACGTGCTCGGGCCTGGGCAGGAGACCGTGTGCAGTGACTGGACTGTTAGACGTCAGAATCCACCACACTTGGGAGACAGGGAGGGGGCTAGTGGTGCAGAGCTAGGCGGCACGTGCCAGGAAGTGGGTCCAGAGCTGGCCCCAGGGACAGATGCCCCCACCTCCGCCTGCTGTCAGCCAAGAGACAAGGACTGCAGAGACCCTGGCCCTGAGGTACAGGCAGGCAGGGCTCAGGGGATCAGGCCACAGGGCCTGAGAGGTCTCCATCGCGTCCCATTGGCAGCCCTGTAGCCCCAGACAGACAGTCAGGGGGCCCCTGGGCTGGGACAGACTCAGGCCTAGAGGAGGTGAGGCCACCAGCCCTCCCTCCCTCCTTCCTGGGCTTCCGGCACACTGACCTTTACCCCCCGGCAGAGATGGGGGACCTCCTTCAGGGTCCATCTGCCCAGAGGGAGCTGACAGTGGGGCACCCCAACACACAGTGCCCTGAGATCCTCAACAGTGGTGTTGATGGTGCCAGCCCGCCGAGTCCCCAGACCTTCCACCAGCTTCACACCCTCACCCTTGGCCAGAGCAGAAGGTCAGGAGTTGCAGGTACCTAGGAAGGTGCTCACCGCTCGGAGGCAGACTTCTGGGAGTTGCCATGGAAGCCAAGACTGGCCTTAGAATCCTTGGAGGGGAGACACCACATCCACAGAACACGAACAAAGACAAGAGAACAGAAAACAAAAGCATTCAGGGGCAGTAGCATGAAACGTGGTCTCGGAAATCGAGTCCTGGGCTGGAAGGGACAGGGAGTAGAATGTGACCAGAGCTGGACACCAGGAAGGCGGAGAAGAGAAGGAAATCTGAGGAGCGTCCCTAGTGCGCAGGCCCAGGAGCTTCCAGAGGACATGGAGAGGAATGGCGAGCACTGGGGGACCACACGAGGGTCCCCGGGTGGGAGGACCAGCCGCCAGCCGCGAGGACCCTGCAGGGAGCACCCTGGAAAGTTTCAGAGCACGGGAAGCAGACGCAAGCATGCCGCCATGCCCCAGGGAGAGGACCAGGGCTGCTGGGAGCCAGGACAACGTTGGGCCGCAGTTGCAGGGCAAGGCCTGGCCAGCTCCAGAGAAGGTTCTTTCCAGTCTGAAGTCTCCAGCCAACCAGGCTCAGGCATGTTGTCTAGACACACCCCTTGCCCCAGGACTGGACTTGTGAGTTCAGGGTGCCAGCGTGGTGGGTGAGGGCCTCTACCTGGTTCATGGCCAGTGCCGCCTCGTGGTGGGAGGAGTGGGGAGCTCTCTCTTTATGAAGGGCACTGACCCCATTCGTGAGGGCTCTGTTTTCACGGCTTAAAGCCTCTGCCAAAGGCCCCACCTCCCAGCGTCACACTGAGGGCCAAAGTTCGACTTGTGAATCTGGGGACACATACGCTGAAGCCAGACCAATCTCAGCGGCCAGCCCTGGGGGATGGATGCTACCCCGTACGGTTTTCCACAACTTGGCCACATGGTTTAGGATATAGCAGAAGAAGGAGCTGTGCGGGTTCACTTGGCCCAAAGCTGGGGAGGGCCCTGGTCCCTGTGGAGGGGCGTCCTGCTGTTCCCTCTCCCTCGGCTGAGGCCCTGTGCGATACAGACTGGACACAGACCCTCCAGCGTGGACAGCGTCCTCCACTCCGCCCCAAAGCACATCTGTGTCCTCTGAGTTTGGGAGGGGGTGTCGGGGGTGTCCAGGCCCCACACCCAGAGTCATGGGGGAGGGGAGGGCAGGGTGGTCCAAGCTGGCCACTCCCAGGAAGGGGAGGACAGGGGACACTGAGGAGCCCAGAGGCCAGCCTGTGGCACTGGAAGTGGCATGGATACAGGCCAGAACATCTAGAAATGAGACGGCAGCAGCTGGGGGCCCAGAGGAGAGGGCTTGGCCTGCGGCTGGTGGGGCCTGGTGGGAAGGCGCCCCCAAAGACAAGGACGGTGCAGCTGGGGGACAAAGTCAGTGGCCACGGAGGGAGGCATGGAGCTGGCCAAGTGCAAGGTCTGCAGCCTGGCCCCGGATCCTCCAGGCAGCTCAGCTCCTTCCCACGTGGAGCCCCACTCCTGAAACTCTGTCCAGAACAGGTGGGGATGCCCGTGGGTCCCGTGACTGCTCACATGCAGTCCCAGTGACCCCCACTTCTGCGGGGCCTCAGGCGGGAGAGTGGTTGCACTACCCCTGAACACACCTCGCAGCCACCAAGCCCACTCATGTCCTTTTCCGACCAGCGGGGGTCTTCCCAGCTCACCCTGACAGTCCATGTCCACCCTCTTGATCAGCCTACCCCTTTTGCGTGCCCATCCACCAGGCATGTGATGCTCGAGGGACAGGAGACAGGGTGATGGGGGAACGGTCCCCATGCAGGGGTGCAGGTGGACTCAAGTCCCCCACCAGGAGGATGGGTGAGGTTTTCAAACTGGTTCCAAAGTTTAAGGCAGGTGATCAGAAATGAGAGAAACGCCAGAACCAGGGGTTACTGGGAAAGTTGAAGCGTTCCTCCCTCATCTCAGACCCCACTCCCCACCCTTGGCAGCCATGTGAGCGTGTTTAGCGTTTCTTTTATGAGCCAAGGGTGTCACCACATACATACACATTGTGAGTGTGTATGTTCCATTTACATTAATGACAGTATAGCCCATTTTGTTTCCTCTTTCTCTCTCATCTACTGAGCTCTGTCTTGTGACGTGCGCCCGTGTGGCCGTGAGGATGCCCGGGCAGATGGCGTCTCACTGCTTGAGGCCTGTTTTTGTGTCTGGTGACTGCCCTGCCATCAGGACATCTTTCTGAGTATCCAGACCTGGGGTGACTGGCAGCCTCCGATGATGGTAACAGTGCCCCAGCACTGCCCTGTGGTCTCCCTGCCTCTTTCGGTTGAATCCGCACATTTCTCAGCCACATGCAGAAAGACCTGTGTGGTTAGTGCAGGGCAAAGTGACATGGCTTGGCCAGACTGATGTGGGCAGCAGACCTTGGAGGGAGCTGCCTGGTCATCACCTTCTCACGGCAGCGAGCTGGAGAAGGAGCCTAGTCTGGTGGCTGAGGTGCAGGGGTACGGTAGGAGACGCAGCCGTGCCCGTGGCCTCACAGGGAAGGGGGCTGGAGGCCGTGTGGCTCTGAGAAGAGGCAGTTTGGGAACCGCAGTCCGGAGCCACAGCGGGGGCGATGAGGGGGCCCTGACCTGGAGGCCTGCGCACAGGCAGGACAGGTCCCCACCTCGAGGGGCAGCGAGGGTCCCCAGCGTGGTCCCAGCCAGGAGCCCGGATGAGGTGGGCACAGGCCTCACCTCCCTTTGGGGAGGGGCGCCTTCTGGGCTGGTCGTCAGCCTGCCCCGGGATCACACCAAGGAGGAAGATGGTCCCTGGCCTTGTCCCTGGGCGGGGACAGTCCGAGCCCCATGGACCCCGCACAGGGTCTTCCTGGACGGCCAGCCGCAAGGCTGTGTGGCTTCTTAGCTGGGCACATCTCGGTGCCTCTGGAACACTCCTGCACGCGGAGGGGGCCTGCCGTGACTCGCATTCCACGTCTAAAGGGCTCCCCCGGGACGGGACAGGGGGCGGCGATCACCCCAGGCCTCCTGCTCACTGCTGGGGAGGGTGGCGGCCAGAGCTCAGGGTGGAGGGCCGGGGTCGGGGGCGAGAGTTCTGGATGCCGCCGCTCGGGTGGTTCCCTGCCAGGTGCCCAGCTCAGGCTGGAAGCAGAAGCCCCCACGGGGCTCCGCACCCCTAGAGGAGCAGCTGGTGCCCTGGGGAAGGCGGGGTCTTTCCCTGGGGCTGGGCCCACTCAGCCCGGGACCCTCTGCTGGCCAGGTGTCGCCCTGGCAGCTGCACGTGCAGCCCGTGTGCCCCCTCGGTGGACACACTGCGTCCCCACCAGTGCCCGGCGACCCTGCCACCTGACCTGGGCTCTCTTCTCCCTGCAGGCTCTCTAACGTCCGTGTTCGTCAGGCTGCCCTGCGGTGGTGTTGGGGTAAGTGTTTCTTTAATGTGTAAATAACGTCCTGTTTGTTCTCGGGGTCCCGGTGGTCACAGAAACCGCTGCCCCGCTCTCCGAAGAGCAGGTAATTGCTGCCAGGTGTTTTCCATAAACAGGATCCGTGGGGCGGGGTCACCCCACCGCGCACACGTGTGGCTTCAAAGGCCCCGTGAGCCTGTGAGCGTTTTGATGGTGGGTCTGGGGCACCGTCCTCCGGGGAAGGCCGTCTGGCAGCGGGGCTGGCTTCAGGAAACGGGATCTGGTGTGCGGCCCGTCTCATCCGACCCGCCCAGCCGCGCTCCCCCTAGTCCGGCTCAGCTCACGAATCCCATTGCCGCACAGGAGTGTGTCGATCCCGATCACAGAGCTCCAGCACGAGGCCCCTGCTGCTGCTCTGACTGCGGGCACCAGGTTTATGGGCCGCGAGAGGCGGGCAGAGCCGCGCCCCTGGGGTTGAGCCCTTAAGCAGAAGTGCGCGAGCAGACACGGGAGAACCAGGGTCTGGGTTTAACCCAGGCTCTGCCTGCTCATGGTGGGGGCGCTGAACCCGTCTGGGCACCCAGCTGCCCCCCAGCACAGCCAGAGCTTCTCCTTCATCCGGGGGGCTGCCCCCCACCACGCTGGCCTCTGGATGAGGAAGGCCACAGGCAAGGAGAGCGTGCTGGGGTCAAGGGTCAGAGCAGCCCACTCCCGGCCCGTCTGCCGGCCATGGAGCTCCCCAGCCCAGGAGCTGCTATGGCCTGTCCTGGGCCCAGAGAGGCCAAAGGACCCAGTGGATGCAAAGGTGTCCCGGCTGGACCTACGCAAGCGGTCGAAGGTCCACGTAATGACAGATCGCACGGCAGAGCCCAGGTCTGGATTCTGTTATGGAAATGAAACAAAATTGTTTTCTTCCTGAGTCTTTACAAAAATTGCTGCTTTGAAAATTATCCCGTCAGAAAGAGAATAAACGGCATTTATTCATACCACCACCAGGCCCTCCTAGAGTTATTGTATTTTGTATTGTAAATAGGCTGCAATCTCTTAATTCGGGGCAAATTTTTGGCCAGACTTGAAAAGGTTTGGATCTGCACTGCCCCGCAGCCGCTCTGCACAAGGCAGGATTTATAATTTGCAAATGAAAGCGAAATGGGGCCTGGGGCCTGGGGCCTTGAGCCAGGCGACCCCTCCCGGGTGTGAAGTCCAAGTCCCACCCCACCGTGACCGGCTAAGGCTCCCACCTCTGCATCCGGGCACAGAAACGCTCGGGAGCACGGAGGCCTGGAGAATCTTACCAAGAGGAGCCAGGTCAAGAGGGGAGTCCGTCAGTCAGAGTAATCAGGGGGAAGTGTGAACTGTGTTGTGTCCAAAGGGACTGTTCACTCCCAACTGTTTGCTCTAATTACTCCTAACAGGACTTCCCTGGTGACTCAGATGGTAAAGACTCTGCCTGCAATGCAGGAGACCCAGCTTCTATCTCTAGGTCGGGAAGATCCCCTGGCGGAGGGCGTGGCAACCCGCTCCAGTATTCTTGCCTGGAGAATCCCATGGACAGAGGAGCCTAGCAGGCTACAGTCCTTGGGGTCGCAGAGAGTCGGACGTGACTGAGCAGCTGACACAAGCAGACGGGCAGAGGGTAGAGGTTCCAGTCCGCCTGCAAGGCTCAGCGGGGCCTCTTTGCCGCACCGCTGGTGCAGCCACAGCCCTCCTGGGCCTCGGGGTCTCCTTCCAGACCCCAGGGCCAGCCCCCGGGGCGTCGGTGCAGCCACGGGACCCCAGGGACCCAGGTGTGGTTGGGAGGGTGCGGGTCAGCAGTGGAGACAAGGAAGGAAAGATCGCTCAAGTGAACATCCAGGTTGTATAACAGAGGTTTTTCTTGTTTTACATTTTTCCCCCCCAAACCAAGTTAACAGCAACTTCTGCTTTGCTCTCCTCCCGATTTTTGCATTTCCCTTCCAGCCCTGTCCTGGCTAGAGGGGGCAGCCTCTCGCAGGCCCTGGGGGCCCGCAGCCCACCCAGAAGAGCCACCCCGAGTGTCCGTTTGAAACCTCCGTGTGAGGTCTCCCCAGCTGTCCTCCCGTCCACCTTCGCTCTGAGGAACTGTGGAGGAATCGGGCGGGGGGGGCCTGTTTTCCCTGCCTCCACCACTCTTGTGTGTGGCGGTCACCCCGAGTGGGGCCACGTCTGCAGTGTCACACTTCCAGCACCCTCACTGGAGTCTCGTTCTTCTGGAACTCAGGGCTCCAAGCCCCCTATCCCAGTGGGTCCACGGGGAGCTGATGGCTAGCAGCTGGAGGACCGAGGCCCTGAGGCAGTGCAAATCACCGTCAGTTTCTCGGGCAGCAGTGGCAGCCTGGGGTCTTGCAGTGGGGCTGGAGGTCTGTCTTACCCTGGACACAGCGTTACGGGAGCTTCTGGGTCCTAGAAAGAAGAATAGAGAACAAAGACCCTTCACTGAACGTGGAGGGTCGGTCCGTTGTCCACCCCCCNTGTGATCCAGCTTCAACTTGTCCACCCCCCCACCCCCCGCCCCGGCTCTGGTTACTTAGCCAAAAGCCCAAGTTACTGCATTTGGAGGAGACAGAATCTGAGTAGTTTTTTGCCCAAACCACCCCTGGTCCTCAGGGGTGCAGCCTCTCGGAAGGCTGGCTCTCACGTCAATTTTCTTGAACTGATTCTTGAGCTGAAGTAACTGGTCCCCAATATTCTAGTTGAGAGGCTACAGCAATGAATAACAGCACACCATTATTTAGAACAGAAGCCTGTCTTTGAACGTTGAATATTAATGCCGCGGAGACCGGGCTAAGTGCAGAGCGTTCTTCTGACATTTGGAAGCTATTTAAAGAACATAGCGGTTTGGTCATTGAAAAGAAGAGCCCGCACGGAATAACGCTCCTCAGGAAATAGCTCGAACCGCTCGTAAATGTATTTTAAATCATCTTGCTTTGAAGATGAAGCCTCAAGACTTCATTGAAAGAAACCCATCCATCCCACGTAATGATCAGGGCCTGGGCGCCGACCCTGGCGGGGGCGGGGTACCAGACCCTCACCTGCAGCTCAGGCCATGTGTCTGGGCCCAAGCGTTCGGGGCTTGGAAGGGATTGCTGCAGGCAGCAGGTTCTCACAGGCCTGCAGACTCAGCTCCTAGTGGATGGTCTTGTCACTAAGGCTTTCCAGAGCCCTCTCTAGGCCTGGCTTTCCCCAGGAAGAGGATGGGAGTCCCAGGCGTGTGCGGCGAGGCACCAGCTACCCTGCCCTGGGGGTACCTGGAGGGGGCCCTTGACCTGGGACCAGGGACTTCTTCACTGAAGCCCCTGATCCCAGCCCCCAGGCTCCTCAAGTCCCTGACTTCTTTCCCACCCATATTAGCTGGAATTTGAAATCTGTACATCTAAGGGGTAAATAAACAAACCATCACACAAACAAACTGCCCAACAGGTTTGTGCCACACCTGTGTTTCTGTTGGAAGGAGAACAGCTACCTGGCAGGTGTGCCATCCCAGGCTGAGTCCACCAGGGCTGTGTCCAAGAGACGGGTTCTCCTCCCCTATGTGCCCGTCCCTGTTAGCTCCCACCATGCATGCGGAGCTTCTCTGTAAATTCATCATGAAATAGCATCATCATTCGGAGAGGTCTCTAATTCTAACTCAGTGGTGAAAGAATCTACCTGCAAACAGGAGTTGCTTAATTGCTCAGTCATGTCTGACTCTCTGCAACCCCACAAACTGTAGTCCACCAGGCTCCTCTGTCCGTGGGATTTCCCAGGCAAGAATACTGGGGTGGGTTGCCATTTCCTTCTCCAGGGGATCTTCCCAACCCAGGGATCAAACCCCAGTGTCCCACATTGCAGGCAGATTCTTGACCATCTGAGCCAGCAGCAAAGCAGGAGACACAGACACAGACACCTGCTCTTCTTGCCTGGGAAATCCCATGGACAGAGGAGCCTGGCGTGCTGCAATCTATAAGAGTCGGACACGACTGAGCAACTGAACAGCAAACAGCTAATTCTAACCCTTCTTAACATTTGCTTTTGCTGACTGTGAGTGTAACTCAGCTGCAGTTCCAATTTAAAAAAAGAGGTAGTGGGAGCTAGGTAACCTTAACATCATGACTCTCAGCATGGAGTAACTTGGAGCCACTGAGAAAAGAAATGACGCCTCAGAAAGGGGTGAGAATGCAGGCGTGCTATTTTGGGTGCATTTACCATTCTTTTCCTGTTTAGTATTTTTTGGCGTGTCTTCAAAATAAAAAGAAAAGTAAACTGGAATGTGAGCCATGTTCTGTAATTAGTCAGGGAGAGACGAGACCCTCCGGTTTTAGAGGCAGAGCACAAGGGACCCAGCTGCTCGGGGGCGGGGGCGGTGTGACCGACGGGGCGCCGGGCTCACCGCGGGCACGCTGTCTCCACAGGTGGACAGTGACACCATATGGAACGAGGTGCACTCGTCGGGGGCCGCCCGCCTGGCCGTGGGCTGCGTGGTGGAGCTGGTCTTCAAGGTGGCCACAGGAGAGCTGAAGGTCAGTGAGGACCCGCAGGAGGGGCTCAGGGGTGGGGGGAGAGTGCCCGGGGAGGGTGCCGCCAGCCGCCTCTGCTCCCTGCTTCTGCTGGGCACTGGGAGGCTGCGAGGGGGGTGGAGCACCCAGGTCTGTCCCAGCCGTTGACCCGCAGGGGACCCTGCCCCTTGTGAGAACATGCACAGCCACGCAGCGGTTCTCAGCAAGGCCAGTCTTGGAGCCCCACCCTCTCACAGTGGCTGAAAGACCAGGAGAGCTTTTGTCCCTAGGAGTTGTGTCATCAGAGGCTGACTACTCATCCGAGATTGAAAAAGGAGTCTTTGCAAATTTAAAGGAGTCTTCGTTAATTTAACAATGATAGTACATCTGGCTTCGTGGCTCAGCCAGGATCGTCACACCCGCTCCTGCATCCTTGGCTGGCATACGCGGCCTTGGTTGAATCACACGAAGGCATTGCAGCCTGGCATGGTGCAGGGCGAGGGGGTCGGTTTTCCTCAGGGTACTGCGGGTCTGCGTCTCTGACGCTACACCCCAGTTCAGAGAGGGAAGCTGTCCTGAAGACGTGTTGCTGTGTAGACCCTAAAGCACACCAGTGGCCTCTGTCCTCCTGCTTTATGAGAGACCCCACAGGCCCCTCACGCCAAGTGCATCGCTTATCCTGACTTTGCACGGTGCACGGTTGTCTGCAGATGAGGGGCTTGACGGTTCATGGAGGGCTCCAGACCCTTCAGATGCCTCTTACTAGGCAGTGTGCACTGCAGCCCACACCCTGAGAACCATGCCCGTCACCTCCCGTTGCATCAGGAGGGTCTCCTCCACGCCGGGAAGAGCTGGTTTTCCAAAGCTCTGATTTTCACTGGGAAGCTCAGATCCCACCCTGACCACAGCTGTGTTCTCCCCGAGGTGACAGCCCCGCCGGGCTGGTTACACACCCCCTATCTCTCTGCACGGGTGTTAAAGAGACGTCAAGGTTTAATGACGTTGATAAGTTTCACTGCTCCCTCGGGGTGCTGGCATGGAGCTGCCATTCCACTGGGAACCTGTGTGCTGCCCCCACCACCGTGCCTGCCGTCAGTCAGCTCTCGGCTACACCGGAGCGGGCACAGAGCTGTGGGGTACTGGAGAGGCCTGGGGTGTGGGGTCCTGTCCAGGGACGGGGAGGTGGTTGGGCGGTGCTGAGCGGGGGCTCCCGCTACGTGCACCCCCACCCCAGTCTCCACAGCAGGCTGGGCACACTTCCCACACCCAGCCAGCCTGGTCCACGGCCCTGGGGGCTCCGTTGCAGACCTTGACCACACAGCTTCCTGGGCTGGCGAGACCGGGCGTGCTGGTCTAAACTGTCTTTATTACAGCGGCTGCAGGATGGTTTGCAGATGGTCTTTTTAAAGCATAAGTGACTTCAGGGCCTGGAGGGGGCAGCCTGTAGCTCTTCTCCAGCCTGTAGACTTTCCTCACAGGCGATAGTGGTCCTTTTCTTGCAATGCCCAGTCCCCGGGGAGCTGAGCTGCAGAGGCAGCAGGGAAATTGACATTATGGCCAAACCAGGGCGCAGCCAAGCCCTGTCAGGTTCATTTGCTCCAGCGTTCCCATCCAGTTACTTCCTGCTGGTTATGATCAGAGCAGGGCTACAGGCGCCCCTGCCCCCTCCTTCCCAGACTCCCCCGCTCAGCAGCCCGAAGCCTGGCCTGCAGACTTTTGCAGATGGAAAGTCAGGAGTGAGCTGACCTTTCGTCTCAGTGACCTGTGATAACAGCGGGCCTCTGACAGAAGGGACCTGGGTGTCTCCGAAGCGCTCACAGGGAGCCCTGGGTCCTGCCCGCGTCTGTGCGCCCCGGGGGCGGCTGGAAACCATGCAGACTCTGCCTGTGCTCAGCCTGTGATCTTTTTCTCACTGACCTGAAACCAGTCTCTGTCCCTGTCTCTCCCCCCTGGTGTCACGCCTAGAACGGCTTTGCTGTGGTCCGCCCTCCAGGACACCACGCAGAGGAGAGCACACCCATGTAAGTGGACACATGGTCGCTCACGGGCAGGGGACGCACGACTGTCTCACACCCCTCCCGTGTGGATGTGCAGGATGTGCAGCTGGAGTTGGCTGTGACTGTGGAAAGACGCGGGGTGGGGTGGCAGGGGGCACAGAAGGGAGGCTGAGAGTGCAGAAGGGAGTCCAGAGGCGCCGTCTCCCTGTCAAGCCCGAGGGCAAGCCCAGGAAAGGGAACGTCAGCTGCCCCAGAAGGAGTTCAAGGGGTGCTTCCTTGTTCTAGATCTCGGGTCTGCTCATGTGTGGCCTTCCAGCCAACCTGTTCATGGTTTGGTACCGTGAGGCTCAAGTCGCCAGGCCATGACCACGGTGGTCAGCTGTCCAGCCTGTGTTTCGGGTTGTGGAGCTGGCCGAGGTGGCAGGGGGTGGCATGTGGACTCAATGCCCATCCTTGTCCAGGAGAAGCCCCCTGTGGGAGTCACAGGACTTGACCCCACAAGTTGTGCCCAAAGTGGACACAGGAAACCCTCAGTGAGTGCCGTATGGGGGCTTCTACCGGGGCCTGAGACAGAAGACACAGTGTTGGGGTCATCAGGTCGAGGCGACGGGCAGAGCCTGGAAGGCTAAGCGCTGGCTTGTCGGTCGGTGATGCACACGCGTGCAGGCAGAGCCGCGGGGAGAAGCAGGAAACACGCAGGCAGGGAGCCACCTTGACCCCAGTGGGGGTGTCGGGACCCGGCTGCAGGAAGGGCCATTGCCCAGGAGGGCACTGTCATCACCCGTGTGCATCCCTCGCTGGCCCAGGACCATCCGCGAGACCCAGCAGTGGGTGCTGGCCTGGGTGTCTTCTCTGAGGTCACCTTTCCAATCTGAGTCTGGCTTGTCAGGTATTCTAGAGAGTGGGCCCAAGGGGACCCGGATGGAGCCTGGAGGAGTCTCCTCCCTGGAGGCTCTCTTGGGGGTCTCGGAGGCCAGTGAGGCAGGAGAGGCTCCATATGGGTGCTTGGTACCCCAGGCTTCCAGATAGCTGGCCTGCACCCCGAAAACAAACCCANGTGGGCCCAAGGGGACCCGGATGGAGCCTGGAGGAGTCTCCTCCCTGGAGGCTCTCTTGAGGGTCTCGGAGGCCAGTGAGGCAGGAGAGGCTCCATATGGGTGCTTGGTACCCCAGGCTTCCAGATAGCTGGCCTGCACCCCGAAAACAAACCCACCCAGGCTTCTCAGCTTCTGTGGCAGTTCAGGTTTAGGAGATTTTCATTTTTATTCGACTCACTTTCTTAGCTTGTTTTTCCCATCCTCTGGAAGCCTCTCTAGAATCATTGTATACATCCTAGAACACAGAGGGATAAGCGGGGAACAAGTAAAATCATAACTTCTGTGTCCCATGGGCCTTCGTGCCTCTTGGGAAGCTGGGCAGTGCGTGGCCCAGGAGGTGTCCTGGGGCACAAAGTGAAATGGACTCTGTCACCCAGAGAGCGCGGGTGGGCTGCGTGCAGGGTCCGTGCGTGTGTGTGTGTCTCTGTGATCAGCGTCAGTAAAGGTGTCCGGATCGCTTCATCAGCAGCCGTGGTTCACCAGACTTCTTAGACCCTTGGGATTCTAGAGTGTTCTCATGCAAGCTGTGTACAGACTAATCAGAGCCCACGTTTTGTCTCTGTTTCTCCTGATGCTCCCCTGCAGGGGGTTCTGCTACTTCAACTCCGTGGCCATCGCTGCTAAGCTTCTCCAGCAAAGGCTGAGCGTGAGCAAGACCCTCGTGGTGGACTGGGTGAGTTGGGGGGCCCTGGGGCGCTGCCAGCTCGTCCTTACCCCGCTCCACACCCCCCAGCAGACAGAGAGGAGGCAGGCTTTCCCACCTCCGCTGACAACTGGATTTTCGGACCTTCAGTTTCTGGAAACTCCCTCAAAGATGCAGAAAGTAAAAGCCCAAACCCTAGGAGTCTGCCAGCTCCTACCAGCCCATCCTGTCAGTGACCGTGGTTCTGAAGTGTCTGGAGACAGGCTGTTGGTGGAGGGCAGTGGCCGGAGGGTGGTCTTGCCGAAACTTGTAGGAGGATGGGGGGCAGGTGGGGCTCGTGGGCCCTTGGCACCGATGGGGGCCCAGCCGTCCTGCCTCACTGCCACTCCGGCTTCTGTGGGAGACCCGGTTTTTACCAGTTTAACCCCCTGTCCTGCTTTTGCACGTGACGGGTCACTTCTGACAGTGCCCTGCCTCCGAGGGTAAAGTCTATAAAAAAACGCCGTAGAATAACTGAAATTCAAAAGTAGGAGGTGGGTACTCAAGGGTATTCACTTTATTATATAGTTTTTCAAGCCATAGATAGAGGGGGAAGGGGAGAAAATTCCCTTTGGTTTTTATCATCCATTTCATAATTTTTTTAGTTAAAAAAGATCAGGTACCTCAGGCAGGATTATTCTTTATGCTGCAGAGTTCCTCCTGAGTTTGGGAAAAGTAAAACCGGAGCACAGCCTGGGACACCCCAAGCTCCAGGCGGCGGGCACTGGTCAGACGTCCTTAGTGCCGGGGCTGCAGGGCATGGGCTGCTGACCCTGGTCCTCACACACCTGGTGCCTGCTCCGTTCAGCCCAGGGAGCCCCTCGTCAGCCCCCCGTGGGGAGCAGTCAGAGATGCTGGGGACGCGAAGCCTCTGAGAAGGCGGGTGCTTGCCGGCTGCCATCCAGGGCTGCACAGGAGGCTCTGCTTCTGGTTCTAACCTGGGCGGACCGCGGGCTGTCGGCCGGTGAGCACAGGCACCCTCGCCCTCGGGAGAGGCTGCTGGACAGTCACCGTGCATGTCCTGGGGGGCCGGCGGGAGGGCAGGCGCGGGCACGCCCACGAGCAGAGGGGGCCAGCATGCCCGGGGTCGGCTGTCAGCCCGAATCCCTCGCGTGTGCCCACATGGGCTACGTCTGGTCCGCGTGCCTACGCGGACACCCTGAAGAGCCCTGGTTCTAACCTGGGCAGACCGGGGGCTGTCGGCCGGTGAGCACAGGCACCCTCGCCCTCGGGAGAGGCTGCTGGACAGTCACCGTGCATGTCCAGGGTGGCCGCCCTCTCGCCAGTCGGGTGCCCCACGGTGGGCTCCCGAGTGGCCCCCGAGGCTTTAGCAAAGGTCCCTGCTCTGAGCGGCGAAGCCCGGCAGTGGGGAATCCCTTCCAAGGAGATGGGCCCGCCCACCTCGGGGTCTCGTTCTAGACGGGAAGTCGGGGCAGACAGCCAGCTCGCAGCAGTCCCTGCGGCCCGTCATGGGTGTGGCCCCCCTCGGGTGGGGCGCACGGCCCCCACACTCTGCATGGGCGGGGGAACAGGGCTCTTGCCTCTGAAAATGCCCCGTCCTGAAAGCCAGCGTGTCGGGGGCGGGCGGCGGGCGAGGGGCGCACCCCGAGGGGCCACCCAGGTCGTGACACGCATTTCTCTCCTCCATACAGGTGGGCACAGGCCCCGGCGTGGGCTTCAATGTCAACATGGCTTTCACTGGCGGCCTGGACCCCCCCATGGGAGACGCAGAGTACCTAGCGGCCTTCAGGTGAGGGTCCTGGCTTCTGCCCCGTGGGGCACTTAGGGAGCAGTCGGGAACCCCCCGCAGGGCCCCAGCTCCTGCGGACTTCACCGTTCTCCTCTGACCTTCACCTTCCCTCGGGAGCACACCCCCTTCCTTCCCAGGCACCGCGGGGACCGGTTGTGCTGTCTCTGTATTTTGGGGGACGAATCCCAAGGCTTCTCACAGTGTGCTCTTCAGGCCAGAGGTGTCATCCCCAAGACCATCTTCTCACCTTCCATCTGCAGGGTTCCCATCTTGCGAGTCACATGGAAACCAGGACTCCATCTGGGCTCTCGATAGTAAGAAAGTGAGGGAGGCTGGGGGAAGGTGTCAGAAAGCGTGAGGTTAACAAGAATCGGGTGCTGCAGTCTGAAAAGGCTCCTAATCTCCTAATTCTTCTTTCAAAAAACCTTTTGTGAGATAATGGGAAACAGAAGTAAGCATCCCTCCTCTACTGACATCAAAATCAGGAGTTGACTCCCCCGTTCACCCCAGTTCCGTCGTGTTAGGCTGGGCCGGGGGAATCTGGTACAGGGCGATTCTGTGAAACCGTCTTTGCTTTGTCATCGAGCCGTGATTTCTGCTTCGATCTGGGCCACATTGAAGGGATACCTGGGGCTGGTAGCACTGGTTTCCTCCTCCTGTTGCAATCGGAGCAAGTGGCTGGGGGTGGGGATGGGGAATGGGGGGGCAGCCCCTGCCAAGTGTGTGTCCAGGGCCCCTCGGAAGGAGGACGGTTTTGATCAGTGGCAAAGCCCAACAGACCTTGGTCTTTGTTTGCAACGCGGCCTCTGCACCAGGCTTTGGAGCCCACCAAGTTTCCAGGGGACTTTCCTCCCTTCCTCCTGAGTGCGTGCTCTGGTTGTCCTGCATGCGGGCACGTGTGTGTGTGTGTGTGTGTGATGTGCTTGTATCTATGTGTGTGTGTGGCTGTGACCCACCTGTGTCTGTGTTGGTGTGCATGCGTGTGCACATGGCTATGTATGCGGAGGCGTGCATGGATGTGAGCACGACTGTCGCGTCTGGTAGCTGAGATCCTAGCGAAGGCCAGGCCATCAGAGCTTGGCGAGGACTCTCCCTGCCTCCCACCCTGGGCTGGGCTTTGGGTGAGGTGGCCGCAGGGCTTACACGACCCTCATAGCTTCTGCTCCCTCTTCTGGTCCCCAGCCTCAAGGGCAACTGTCTGGGTCTGGGGATGGAAAGGCCAGGCCCAAGGGTGCCTCCGCCGACGTGAGGCCCCTTCGCCTGCCACCCAGTTCCCACAAATAACGGCTGAAGCAATGAGCTGCGCAGACAGTGAAAGTCGTCAGTGCAGACAGGACCCCATCGCCTCCTAAGAAGGCCCGCGGGGTCGTCCCCTGGACCACTCTCCTCCGATCTCAGTGGCTTTAATACTGTTGTTTCCTTTTTCTCTTGGTAAGATATAATGCAATCGTGACATTGTCCGCCCCCTTATTTAGGGGAGAAGGACTCCCCCAAACGGACACCACATCTGAAAACCGCTCACGTACACGGTTAAATGTCAGCTTCAGGAAATCAGAACCGGCCTTCACTGTGGAGGCCATCACCGCCCTCCCTGGGATGCCCTCCAGCCACCTGCAGTTAGTCACGCCACACCCGGAGAACTGGCCCTCCTCAGGGACTTCCTGGGGAATAAAGTGTCTGGACTCGGGGTGAGAGGCGTGGATACAGCCCAGTGACCTCTGATGCCTCAGGGGACCCAGCATGGCTGAATTCTGGTGGAGGCTGTCTTTAAACTACGGATTAAAGTGATAAAAATGGCAGTTCCCTCTTCTTTCGGACCAGGTTCCGACTAAACGGGCCTCCAGGGCTGTTGCAGGGTGCTGGGCACACTGATGGGGTGGAAAAGCGGGCAGGAGGCGGGCCCTGGGGGTCTCCCCCTCCCTGCCTGCCGGCATTACAACGGACCCCTCACCCCAAGTTGCTGTTGATGTCCCGTTTTAATCTTCTGCCAAGTGTGTACATGGTGATGCCCTATCAAGTGAACTTTTTAAAGCTCAAATAGCCTCTTTGAAAAGGAAAATTGTTTCAGGGTTTTTTTCTTTTATTGATTTTAATGTAAAATAGCACTTTGAAGTTTACAATTTATGGTTCCCTGGGCATCGATCGGAGGGGGGAAGGAGGGTCAGGAGCCGTTTCCCCTCCTCTGCCCGCTCCCCGGGGGCCGGACGACGCTCGCCGCATGCCTTCCAGGCGGCACCTTCTGCGGAGACCCACGCCTGCCTCATTGCATTTCAGGAGATCAAGCCCGAGATGAAGAAGAGATAAGAAAATTGCCCCTAATGAAAGCCAGAGGCAGCGGCACTTTCTCCTGGGCCTGGAGACTCTGGGAGAAAAGGGGACCTTAATTCAAACCAGCCAGACCAGCAGCTTTGAAGTCTGCTGAGCAGCAGAGGCCTCGGGCCAGGAGGCGCTGGTGCACTTTTCTTAACCCCTCACTTCCCCGCCGCCTGGCAGCGCGGGGCACGGGGCCCGGGGCTGCTGCTGCCCTCAGAGCGAGGCCGCGTTACAGAGGTGCTCGGCAGGGGAAAGGCCGTGTTACAGAGGTGCTCCAGGATGGTGGAGCTGGGACTGCTCCTGCTCTCAGAGTGCTGCGTGGGGGAGAGGCCGCGTCACAGAGGTGCTTGGCGGGGGAAAGGCCATGTTACGGAGGTGCTCCGGGATGGTGGAGCTGGGACTGCTGCCCTCAGAGCACCTTGTGGGGGTACAGGCCGTGTTATAAAGGTGCCCAGGGATGGTGGAGCTGGGACTGCTCCTCCTCCCAGAGCCCAGTGTAGGTTTAAAGGCCGTGTTGTAAGTTATCAGAAATGCTGGTGAAACTGCCTGTTTGCAAGTGGAAACCTTCATCTCTCTCTGAGTGAGGTCGGCCTCTGTCCTGAGCAGCTGGGCAGGTTCATTTCATTTCCCAACCTTTGAAGCCCTGCTGGAAGGTTGAGGGGCTTTTGTTTCTTCCACATTTTTCTTTTTTAAAAACGCTGGTTGGTTGTTGTTGAGCTAAACTATACATAAAACTTGACCTTCTGAAACATGTTCGAGAGTCCAGTTGCGGCACTGGCTGTGTTCACAGTAGCGTGTCTGCTCCGGGGAGCCCATCCCTGAGGGCCCAGCCTCTGGGAGCCGTTAACACACCCGCCTGGACCCCTCTTGCGGCCACTATAGGTCTTCAGGGGCGTCCAGGTCTTCTCCTCGGCAGAGCGTTCATCCGAGGACATCCTTCTGCAGTGATCTTAAAGGAAAAGAGAAGTAAAACCTGGGAGTTGAGCGATGTGTTCAGCCCGTGGTCGCTGTGCGCCTGTGCAGGTGGGGGTGCACACTGCTTGTCCTCGTGGGCGGCAGGGTCCCCGGGTGAGGCGGGCCTGTGCTGATGGCATGCGCCCTCCTTCTGCCCTCGGGTGGGGGCTTCCCAGCCGAGCCGTGGTGTCGGGGCAGGGGATGCGCCCACAGGTGCAGGCCGGGCGGTGTGACCCACCTGTCTGACCCCACGGCCGGTCGTGGAGCCTTCAAGCACAAGGGCCTCCTGGGGGCTGACGGGTGGGGCCTGGAGTGCAGGGGCAGGAAGAGGGTGAGAGTACATTGGGGTCTGGAGTGGTGAGGTGCCCACCTCACCTGCTGCCCAGGAGCCTGCAGGGGGTGGGGGGGAGGGACGTCCTCACCTTGGCAGATGGAGGCTGGCGAGCAGAGAGCAAAGAGGCCAAGCCTCGGGGACGCAGCTCCAGTGGGGGGGCAGGCAGAGCCTGTTGGGGAAGGGCAGCAGCAGGGGCAGCCTTCGGCGGCTTTCAGCCCGCCGAGGCCACGGCGTCACCGCTGCAGGGCCCGGCCAGGACGGTCACGTTCCCGTCATCACTGTCTTCCTTCCCATCCCCACTCTCAGCAGAGCTCGGGTACTTGATGAGCAGGTGCTGGGCCCCTGGCCTGCAGTCCTGGTGGAGGGGGAGGGGTCTCAAGAGGATGTGGGCTCCCAGGGCAGGGGGCTCAGAGGCCGGGCCCCCCAGGGCAGGTATACAGAGATTCCAGATCCCAGAGGGCACATGCCTCCCCTTGCAGAACATAAACGAAAGGAAATTTTCGGTGATCAAAACACCGTCACTGAAATCGTGCTGTTGGGCTCCCAGCAGCAACCTCTTGTAAAACCGGGTCTGGATTCAGCATCCACAGTCAGCGTCCTCTGCCCGGCACCTCCAGCCAATGAGCGCTCTCCTGACTGGAGACGTGAACTGTGAAACCAGTCCAAAACAGCGGTGAGCGTGAACAAGGAAGCCTGCGGGGCGAAGGCTGCGGGGGCTGCGTGGGAGGGGTGTTTAGGGCCAGCTTGCGTGGACAGTGCTTCCAGGGCATTCGGAGGGGCAGCAGGGAGCCAGGGGCAGCATAGCAGCCGGAAACCTGGTTCCAGCCAAGGCCCTGGCACCCGTGGGCACAGCCCCCGAACACAGCTCTGCGGCCCGCTGGCCGCCAGTCGTGTGCCCCCAGCTGGCATTGACCGCCGGTCTGGTGGATTTGTGCGGGCCCCAGTTGGGTGGTGTATCGAGATGTCATTTGTCTTTTGGAAGTTGGAGCCAGCTGTTAAACCAGCTCGTGCACTTAGATTTCACTGTGGGTTGGGATTGGCAGACTGTCAGTAGTGACGCATCCAGCCCTCTGCTACTCAGGAGGAAGCCGAGTCCTGTCAAGGGGAGGTGACGTTTCTTGGGGCTCAGTGTGTGCTGCACACCCACCCAGCACACGCCGGGCACACAGCACCATTTCAGGTCTTCCTCCTGTAGCAAGCGTTCGGGATTACAGCCTCGACCGTCCCAGTCAGGAAGAGGAAAGGAGGGTGTACACATGGACATCCGCTCTCCCAGGTGCTCAGACTCCCGCCTGACGCATCCAGCCCTCTGCTACTCAGGAGGAAGCCGAGTCCTGTCAAGGGGAGGTGACGTTTCTTGGGGCTCAGTGTATGCTGCACACCCACCCAGCACACGCCGGGCACACAGCACCATTTCAGGTCTTCCTCCTGTAGCAAGCGTTCGGGATTACAGCGTCGACCGTCCCAGTCAGGAAGAGGAAAGGAGGGTGTACACATGGACATCCGCTCTCCCAGGTGCTCAGACTCCCGCCTGGACGGTGAGCCAGCCCCCTCCCCAAACCCTGCAGACATGCATGCACACACCACACGCCCACACCCACATGCCAACACGTGGGATCAGCCGTGCTTTACAACTTGTTATGATTGGCTTTGGGGCGAAGCCACACACCCAGCACAGACGCCAGGGACCCTCTCGGTGTTCACCTCCTTTAATGATGGTTTTCACAGGGCTGTTTTTTTTAATTTTGTGTGGGGATTAGAAATGGAATCGCTCTGCGATACTTCAAAGCGGAGCAGCAGAGCGCCCACATGCACTTGCTTCAAAACGGCTGCCGGAGCTCTCTGAATGAGCCGGCGTCTGCTTGAAATGTCTGTGGTTTTCCTTGAAACACCGTGCCGGCTTTAAAATCACTACCAAGATTGCGGCCGAAGCCAGTCTCCCACCCAAAGACAAAGTTTATGTGACAAGAACTTCATTAAAAATAATTGAAAACCAGCCTCGCTGGAATGATGAGGGCTCGTGAAGAGGGGCCCGCCAGGTCCTCGCAGGGTGGAACGGTGGCCTGTGCCTTTGGGGGGACAGACCCAGCTGCCGGGCGTGGAGGGAGAGCAGACTGCTCTTCCTGGATCCCGAGGTGCCCCCCCATCGTACCAGCCTGGACCAGGAATTTTCACGCAAGCCCCAGGGGCCTGCTCTGATGCCTGTGCTATGTTTAGAAGACAGCGCTTGCAGACTTCCCTGGCATCCAGCAGTTAAGGCTCTGCACTTCCGGTGCAGGAGACACAGGTGTGACCCCTCATCGGGGAACTAAGATTCCACATGCCGTGTGGTGCAGCCAGAAAAAGAGACGGCGCTCTCTACGTCGCGTCTCCAGTTCCTGTGAGCTCTCGTCCCACTGGCGCAGAGAAGCGTTCAGAGCTGGGGCTGGTGTCATGTGTGGAGCAACTTTAGCAGAGTCTGAATGGCAGGAGTTGGGCAGGGCTGGCAGACGGCAGCCCAGGGGCCAAGTCCCACCTTGTGTTTTTTAAGTCAAATGGCCCGAAGACGGAAGTGTCTGCTCCCTGGCCCTCGGCCGGAACACTGTCAGCCCCTGGTCTGATCCCCATGCAGTGTTGCTGGGACCTGAGGGGTGGCCCCCAAGGCCCAGAGCCCAGGTCCTTGGGAGCGCTTCTGTCAGCTCTGCAGAGGCGTCAGGGGAAGCTGAACGGAGCACAGCCTCAGAGCAAAGAACAGAAGTGGCGGGATGCCGAAGGCCCACCCGGCCTGTGACTCCCTGGCTCCAGAAGGGGGTTTCCTGGTGGGCGAAGCGCCAGGGCTGAAGTCGGCGAGTCTCGGTGGTGGACACTTCCAGCACCGGGCCTGTCACAGGTGGATGTCCCCGGGGAAGCCCCCAGGGCCGTGTGTGGTCGCGGGCATCCAGCTGGGCCTCCCGGCTACTCACTGCGAATCCTGCGGAGCAGGGGCTGGGTCTTCACCTGTGTGTGGCTCTCCGGGGTTCTCGGCCCTCCCCCACCTGAAATCAGAGGGACCTCTCAACAGGACTGCAACCCAGAATCATTCCTAGATGAGAGGTGTTTAATACTGAGCATTCTGTTTCTTATGGATATGAGTTTGGGTAAACTCCAGGACTTGGTGATGGACAGGGAGGCCTGGTGTGCTGCAGTCCATGGGGTCGCAAAGAGTTGGACACGACTGAGTGACTGAACTGAACTGAATGGAACTGATTCTGTTTCTTTGGCCAAAGTTGTCATCTTCCAGAGTTGACTTTGCTGTTGTAAACGGTGATTTCATATCATCCTGATGACAGCCTGTGGGATTTCAGGGGGTGCCCTGTGGCCATGGTGCTCTCTGGGGCCCGCCCCGTGGCCATGGTGCTCTCTGAGGCCCGCCCCGTGGCCATGGTGCTCTCTGGGGCCCGCCCCGTGGCCATGGTCCTCTCTGGGGCCCGCCCCGTGGCCATAGTGCTCTCTGGGGCTCAGCCTGTGAGGGGCGGGGACCATTGGTCATGCCCAGCACACTGAGCCCCTCCCACACAATCTTCTGAAGACCTGGTTGGGGGCGGGGATATGTCTCAGAGGTGAGGAGCTGGGCAGGAGGGAGACAGAAAGTCAGGGGGCACTTTCCAGGCCCATGAGGCTGGCTCCAGGTCAGACGCTGGACTGGACAGGAGTCTTCCCTATCTCAGCATGAAGCAAGATTTCCAGGCCGAGCCATACACTCAGGCTGCAAGCTCCTGAGGCGGTTGTGTTAACAGGAGCTTCCCCCCACTTTTCTTGCCTTGTTTCCCGAATGTAACTTAGCCCCTGACCTCCTCAGCGTCTGTTTATACTTCTAACCAGCCGGTTTTCTTAAACTGAAGCATCGGTTTTCCCTTTAGGGATCCTAAGTGTTGGATTTCTTTATAATTAACCTTACATGTCCCTCCTGCACCCCAGCAGTGGGTCATTTTGTCCAAAGCAGCCGACGGCATGGCCTCAGGGGGCTGGGGTTGTGGAAGGCCAGGGCGTGGGCTCTGGGGCGCCTCCACCAGCTCGGCCGCCCAGCCCCGGGGCCCAGGTGCCGGGCAGTGGCCCTGGCAGCCAGCGACAGGGACCGCCCTGGGCTGACGCAGCGTCCCCCGCCCCCACCCTGTGCAGGACCGTGGTCATGCCGATCGCCAGCGAGTTCGCCCCAGACGTGGTGCTCGTGTCCTCGGGTTTTGACGCCGTGGAGGGCCACCCCACGCCCCTCGGAGGCTACAACCTCTCCGCCAAGTGTGAGTCGGGTCTGCGGGCGGCCAGCTGTCAGACGGGTGGTGCGCGCACCAGGCGTCCCCTCCAGTGGCTGTGGAAGGAGACAGCCCCAAAACCCCAAAGATGTCCTCCCACCTTACCGAAACCACGACGCCGGCTCCCCAGAGAGCACGAGGCCACAGGCTGCGGGGGCTCCTGGCCCAGAGGCCCAGCAAGCCTGTGGCCTGCCCACTGCTGCTGTCAGCTGGGGCCGGGTCCCGCTCCTCCTGAGGGCTGTCATCCCACATAGGGCCTGGAGGGGGGCTGGCCCTAAATGCTGTGAAGACAGAAAGAGCTGAGAGCAGGCTCCCTCCAGTCAGGGGAGGAGAGACTTGTGCATCGTCTCCATCTCTAGCAAATCATGCAGGTGATAACTCACCCCACCCCATCCCAGGGCCAGCCACAGAACGGCCCGGACGCTCCCACCCCAACCAGCGACTTGGGGGTTGCAGTGGTAGGGATGCCTGGGGTTCCCCAGGGCGGGCACTAGTCAAGGGAGCCTGTCCCCCGCCCCCACATGGGGAGAGCGTGGTGCAGTGAAGAGGAAGCCCCACAAGAGGACAGCCTCACAGAGTCCACCTGCCCGGGCCGGGGCCCGAGGGACTGAGACTGGGACAGACAGAGGGCACAAGTGTCCTCCACGCCCAGCGCAGGGGGCCCACGCCCTGAGTGCTTCCTGGGGTCCTCGCAGTCCCCTCCGAGCCAGCGTCACTGTTGCCATCGGAGACAAAACCAAGGCTGGGGAACCTCAGGGCCTCACCAGCGCCCACAGCTGCCCGGAGGCAGAGTCCAGCCTCGGGCCCACTCTGCCGAGCGTCGGCCTGTGTGCATAGACGGGGTCAGGCGGCCTGGCTCCCCGAGGAGGGTCTTTCTCGTTCCCCGTGGGGAGGGTGTTGGGCTGCAGTGCACGGACCACAGCTGCTGATGAAAGCCAGATGTGGATGCAGGAGGGCCCTGGAGGGGCGCACATGGTGGTGACACACGCGTGAGTGTGTTGGCACACCTGTGCCCGGCACTTGGGCCGACCGGAATGCCCTGGGCTCTGGGATGGACGTGGCCGGACCCTGGCAGCCACCCTGTCCGCCACCCTCCTGCCTCCCTGCTTCTGTGGTTCGGCAGGCGAGATGGGGGCTCCCCCGGGGCTCCTATCTGCCCCGAACGAGATGATTTGCAGCATTATAAAATCAAAGCCCCGAAACCGTAATTCCTACTCCCACGGAGATCAAAAAGAATCCCAAGCCGAAATCCTCCAATGAATTTATCACAAGCCAACCTGGCTTCCATTAGGTGTCTCGCTCGGAGTGCCAGCCCTGGGGCCTCGGTAAGGCGATGCGATGCGCCCCCGGGCGCTTTGATCCACTGCCAGGCTGCTGTGAAGACAGAAAGAGCTGAGAGCAGGCTCCCTCCAGTCAGGGGAGGAGAGACTTGTGCATCGTCTCCATCTCTAGCAAATCATGCAGGTGATAACTCACCCCACCCCATCCCAGGGCCAGCCACAGAACGGCCCGGACGCTCCCACCCCAACCAGCGACTTGGGGGTTGCAGTGGTAGGGATGCCTGGGGTTCCCCAGGGCGGGCACTAGTCAAGGGAGCCTGTCCCCCGCCCCCACATGGGGAGAGCGTGGTGCAGTGAAGAGGAAGCCCCACAAGAGGACAGCCTCACAGAGTCCACCTGCCCGGGCCGGGGCCCGAGGGACTGAGACTGGGACAGACAGAGGGCACAAGTGTCCTCCACGCCCAGCGCAGGGGGCCCACGCCCTGAGTGCTTCCTGGGGTCCTCGCAGTCCCCTCCGAGCCAGCGTCACTGTTGCCATCGGAGACAAAACCAAGGCTGGGGAACCTCAGGGCCTCACCAGCGCCCACAGCTGCCCGGAGGCAGAGTCCAGCCTCGGGCCCACTCTGCCGAGCGTCGGCCTGTGTGCATAGACGGGGTCAGGCGGCCTGGCTCCCCGAGGAGGGTCTTTCTCGTTCCCCGTGGGGAGGGTGTTGGGCTGCAGTGCACGGACCACAGCTGCTGATGAAAGCCAGATGTGGATGCAGGAGGGCCCTGGAGGGGCGCACATGGTGGTGACACACGCGTGAGTGTGTTGGCACACCTGTGCCCGGCACTTGGGCTGACCGGAATGCCCTGGGCTCTGGGATGGACGTGGCCGGACCCTGGCAGCCACCCTGTCCGCCGCCCTCCTGCCTCCCTGCTTCTGTGGTTCGGCAGGCGAGATGGGGGCTCCCCCGGGGCTCCTATCTGCCCCGAACGAGATGATTTGCAGCATTATAAAATCAAAGCCCCGAAACCGTAATTCCTACTCCCACGGAGATCAAAAAGAATCCCAAGCCGAAATCCTCCAATGAATTTATCACAAGCCAACCTGGCTTCCATTAGGTGTCTCGCTCGGAGTGCCAGCCCTGGGGCCTCGGTAAGGCGATGCGATGCGCCCCCGGGCGCTTTGATCCACTGCCAGGCATCGGTGCTGCGGCCTGGCCTCGCCCACCACTTGCCTCTCCCGTGTCTTTCGCAGGTTTCGGGTACCTGACGAAGCAGCTGATGGGCCTGGCCGGTGGCCGGGTCGTCCTGGCGTTGGAGGGAGGCCACGATCTCACAGCCATCTGCGACGCCTCGGAAGCCTGCGTCTCTGCCCTGCTGGGGAACGAGGTAGGAGGGCTGGGGGCTCAGGGGCCGGGCCGCGGGCTTCCCTGCCCTGCCCTACCCCGCTGTCCGGCGCGTCTGCCACTCGCACCTGGAAGGAGGCTTGCCCACCCGACAGGACTGTCTGGTTGGGGCCGGAAGTGGGTGGGCAAAGAGACAGTTATAAGCCATGTTAGAAGTACAGTTATAACTGGGTTGTGGTCCACAGTTATAAGCACACAGCTCAGGATCCGTCTTTTAAAGGCACTCGCCTTGATGTGGGGCCCGCAGGGGAATGCGTTTACCTGGTTTCCTCCTCGCGGATGGTCGGTTCTCTGGGATCTCCTGAAGCGGGTCCTGGGGGCGGTGTCACTGCGCCATCTCAGGGGCATGGGCCTGGGTCCCTGTGGCTCCCCCGCTGCCCTGACCCTCAGGCCATGCCCAGGACTGGCTTCAGCACCCTGGCCTGACAGCGGGGCTCAGAGGGTCTGGACTGAGACAGGGAACTTTGCAGGGTTCCATGGAGGGAGGCCCGCTGGGAGGCAGCTTCCCAGGCTAAAATGCCATCAGGCCGGGACACTCATGCCCACTGGCGCTCCTGGTGGACAGAGCCACCCAGCTGCCGGGGGGAGGAGGATGGGGTGGGNGAGTCGCAGGGTGGCTCCCTGTAAGGCACGGCCTGTGCGGCCACCTTCCCGTGGTGCTCCCATGGCCGGGCTCGTGCTCCCTGGCCCAGGGTTGTGCTCCCTGGCCCGGGCTCATGCTCCCTGGCTGTCTGCTGGGACAGGCCGCTGGCTGGCAACAGAGGCAGAGGTGGTAAGCTTGGGTGGGCAGGCACCTGGGAGGGCTCTGTTTTCTCCTGACGACCTCTGCGTGTCCTGGATGGTGTCGATTGTAACCTAAGTCACACCTGGGTCCAGGGGCCTGCTGGAATCTCGCCTCTCTGGTCAGCTTGTTAGCAACACGTGTGAATGTTCTCTGGCAAAGACCCGCCTGCTTTTGCTTTCCAAAGTGTGCAGGGCTCTTCACCTCTCCTCTCTTCCCATAAAGCGATCTCCCTACCCCTTTTACTAGGAGAAGGCAGCTGATTTATATCTTCAAACCATCTTGAGGGCTTTTGATTGTGAGAGCCAGCTATTTTAAAATAGCGGTAGAGAACTCGGCTTTCAGTTCAGCTGCTCATGCTCTTCTGACAAAGTGTTCCTTTGGTGAAACACATCAAAAAGCAGGAAGCCCTAGTTTTATCGAGGTCACTTAAAAATCTTTTTAATGCCAGAAAGTTGGAGGGAGCCTCACCCCCTTGGCCTTTGATGAGGCTGATGCCGGGCACGGGGACGGCTCGCTCCCGGGTAGGGGAAGCTGACTGTGGAAGGCCGGTGCTGCTGGCGCATGCCCATGGGGGTCAGCAGAGGGGTGCGTGCGGGGCTGGGCCTGGAGGGGCTGCCCTGCCCCAAGAGCCATCGTACTGACTACTGAACTGAAGTTGTGTGAACTGACTGTTGAACATGAAGCCATCATATTGACTAGTTTCAGCTTCACGCCATCTGCAGCCCTTGGGGATGGTGACAGTGAGACATCACCTATGGGAGCCGGGTGGGTGGTGTGCCGAGGCACTGCAGTCCAGGGAGGGGCCCCAGGCAGGTGGGGAGTCACTTCCACAGTCACAGGTCGCCCCCCTGGGGAGGCTTCTTTGGGGCCCGTTTTCTATTTAGCCATGCGACTTCTCGGGGTCAAATGGCACTGTCTCATTGAGCCCAAGTCCAAGATCCCGGGCAGGAGGTGGTGGGGGATCAGGTGGCCGGTAGCTGCGGGAGCATCCCTCCCTTGTCCTGCTGTGCTGCCTCGAGCGGGCGCAGAGTGAGGCGGTCCAGGGGGATTAGAAGCGGCGGGGGGAAGTGGGAGACGCAGGGCTGACGGAGCCCGCTGTTAGCTTCCAGCCTGCCAGGCTCCCCCGCTACCCCCACAGCAGCTCCAGTTCACCTGTGCTCACCTCACCAAAGCGGCCACACGCGGGCCTTGACGATGGAGCAGGCTGTCCCCCAGTCGTGTTTCCAGGACGCGGCCTGCGCTGGGTCAGGGATCTGGGCCGCATGTCCAAGCTGTGCCCCCAGTGGGCCCGTCGGCTCCCCACCCTCCCCCGGAGAAGTGGCCCTGCACACTCTGCGGGTGAGAGGGGACCCGCCCCGGAGCACCTGAGCCTCCTGCTGCGGGGTGACAAGGAGCTAAGCCCGAGGGGGGACCCCGGGAGTGTCCCGCCATCCTGGGCGCACACCCTCTGCTATCCTGTCAGTGAGCCTCAGTCCTTTAACCTTTGTCCGAAGGAGTTGTGGTGTTTCGGTGCCATGTGGTTAATTTTCGCTAGTGTTTAAAAACCCTTGAAAACCAGCTGCGTCCTCCAAGCCTCTGCACTGTCACCAGGAGGCTCAGGAAACGCGATGCGGCCGGCCCAGGATAATCGCTGAGTCTGTCTGTGTCGCCAGATGCAGTTCACACGCTGAGGCCGCAGAGCCTGAGCAGACAGACAGACATGCAGGGCCTTCTGCGGGAGAGGGGACCCCACCCTCCTCCCAGCCCCGCAGAAACCCCGAGGAGGGGCTGTCCTGGGCCTGGCGGGAGCATGCTTCCCTGAGGCCCACAGAGGAGCTCGGGCGGCAGGTGGGGACCACAGTCACAGGTGACCGCAGGCGGCCCCGGCCCCTTCCCCGGGAGAGCCAGCAGGGGGGCTGGGGCTGGGCCTGAGGGCAGAGGACTCGGGAGAGGAGGCCAAGCAGAACTCGACCCCTGGAAGCCGTCCGGGAGAGGCCGAGAGAGAAGGGAAGACGTGGGCGAGCAGGCTGGGGCGGCCACCGGGCCCCGTGGCTCTGAGTCCCACAGGGCCCTCTACCCGGAGGATCCTCGAGACGGGGAGAGGGGATCGCAGAGCCAGCCTTCGGGCAGGGGTGCCGGAGCGCCCCAGGGGCCCTGGTGGACGTCATCCGTCTCCTTGGGAAGAATGCGGAGGCGGGGTGGCCGGGCATCTGAACCCGGGCGTGGCTGTGAGGATCAGGACCGTCACAGGGCTGGGGGATGGCAGGGTGGCTCCCGGACAGTGGGAGCGGCCGTGAGCCCCTGAGGATGGGCTGGGGGCCCGGGTTCCGTCATCTCTCGTGTTCTGGCGGGCCCAGAGACACCAACCAAAGTGCAGTTCTGTTTTCTGGAAACGCACACTCTGACCTGGGTTCGCCCAGGATTCCATGAGGGCCGCTTTCCGTGGTGCCATAACCTCTCTGGTTTCTGCTCGCTCAGGGTGTGGTGTGAGCTCTTGTAAACTGCAGAGTAGAAAGCCACACCCACACCCACAACTAGGCGCTCTGCACAAGGGTTTTCTTGCACACTTTCCCCGAGGCTGGCTTTTTAAAGGCTGAGCTCAGGACAAGCCTCCCTTCTGATTTGGTTGTGACATGGAGCACACGCGAGGTGAACGTGCCCCGGGGCGGCCAGGGGCTCCCGTCTGTCACTCGGACGCGGCATTACCCACAGCCGGCCCTCTGTCCTCTTCCAAGTGAAAGTGGAAAGTGAAGTCGCTCAGCCGTGTCTGACTCTGCAACCCCGTGGACTGTAGCCTGCCAGGTTCCTCCGTCCATGGGATTCTCCAGGCAAGAATACTGGAGTGGGTTGGCATTATCCTTCTCCAGGAGATCTTCCAGACCCAGGCATTGAACCCGGGTCTCCTGCATTGTAGGCAGATGCTTTACTGTCTGAGCCACAGGAAGCCCTCAAAGTCCCCAGCTTGGCTCCTTTCAGACACAGGCGGGCACGTGAAGGCACACAGCCCAGCTCTCCGAGCTTGCACGGCCGGGCCAAGACTTTCCCCTGGCTCCTTCGGCTGAGCAGGACGGTGGCCCCGGTTCGCTCTCCTCCCGGGACCACCGGACACCTCCGTGTGCCTCAGATCCCTCTGCAACGCCCGATTCCGTGCTCCCAGTCGCACCTGCCCCCCAGTCCCTCCCCTGCTCAGCACGGCCTGACCCCCTCTCCCCACCTTCCCTGCGGCCTGCCGCTCTGGTCCCCGTGTGAACATCACCCCTCACCCAAGCTGGCCCCACAGACCCGGGCCCCTGCTCTGCGAGGCCAGGCAGAAGTCTGTCTCTTTTGTTCCCTGATGTTTCCTAAGTTTGAAGGATGGATAGCGGTTGGTTCTCCCTGGGCTGCTCAGTGATGTCTATTAAATGAAAAATAAGACCCCAAGTAATGAGAGATTTATATATTTTTAGAGCTAGAGGCTCCCCCGCTGCTCAGCCCTTGTGTGTAAAGTGGAGGCTGGACACGTGCTCGGGGCAGACTAATGCCCAGAGCAGCTGGAGACGGGGAGCTGCCACAGAAACGGTGGGGCGGTGGGTGGGCACAGACAGCGATGTGGGCAACAAGGGGCTCACTGGACATGACCCGGGCAGAGGGTGCTGGAGGAGGGCCATGTAGCGCCCTGGAGGGTCAGCCTCCAGCCACTACCAGGGCCCCCTGGGGAGGTTAGACGTGGGGGTCCCCCCAGGACTGGGAACAGCAGGATCCAGGTTCAGTTTTAGAAAATTCCTGGCACCGCGCTCTGACACACTCCTCTGCCTTCAAGTGATGGGCAATTTATGGAATGAGTTATTTTCTAAAGAACTGCTTTTTTCTTAAGAGGGATAAAATCCTAGCAAACTCTCAGAGTTCTGCTGCAGCAATAAGGCCTCAGCTGTTTATGCCACAGTGAGGACCCCAAACCTGAAAGGTGTGTTTTCTGCTCCAGCTTCGTACCCACAGGAGACCTGTGCTGTGCCTGTGGTGGCCCGCTGACCAGAGCACTTGAGGACACTTCCGTCTTCACAGGGACACCCCGTTTTCACGGGGGCCTGCAGGTGTTCCGGGGGGAGGACTCCCCATCTGTATCTGCCCTCTGACCCAGGACTCACTCACCCTGTTGGCCCAGATTGGGAGTTACATCAGAGTCCCATCCTGTGCAGTCAGCCGTGGCCAGAGAGCAACTGCGTCCCTGAGGCAGATCCTATTGGAGAGAGGGGTGGGCCCATGTCTACGAGGTGGCGTCTGAGTGTTTGTCCCTCAGGCCCTCAAAAGTGGGGGACCAACCTCAGCAACATGGCATCTCACATTTGACCCTGCCAGCCTGCAGGGCAACATAGCACCCAGTTCAGCAGGGGGTCACTTCCTCATTCCTCAGAGGCTGAGCACCTTTTCGTGGGTCTCTTGACCACTCGGCCTTTCTCTTCAGGTCTTTTGCCCATTTTTCTATTAGACCATGTTTTTCCAATCTATTTTGGGGGGAGAATTGGATGGCTGGGTGGGTGGATGGATAGATGAACTGGTGGATGGATAAATAGATGGATTGGTGGATGGTTGGATGGACAGCTGTTGGATGGGTGCATGGATGGATGGTGGATGGATTGGTTGGTGGATGGATGGATGGGTGGGCGGATGGATGGATGGATGGGTACATGGATGGATAAATGGATAGATGGTGGATGGCTGGATGGGTGGGTGGATGGATGGATTGGTGAATGGATGGATGGATAGATGAACTGGTGAATGGATAGATGGATGGATGGGTGGATGGATAAATAGATGGATCGGTAGATGAATGGATGAAGAGATGGGTGGATGGTTGGATGGATGAGTGGTTAGATGTATGGATGGGTAAATGGATGGATGGTGGATGGATTGGTGGATGGATAGATGAATTGGTGGGTGGGTGGATGGATAGACAGATGGATTGATAGATGGATGGATTGGTGGATGGATGGATGGATGGATGGATGGATGGATGGATGGATGGATAGATGAACTGGTCGATGGATGGATGGTTTGGTGGATGGATGCATAGATGGGTAGATGGTTGGATGGATGGATGGGTGCATGGATGGATAAATGGGTGGATGGTTGGATGGATAGGTGGATGGATAGACAGATGGATTGGTGGATGGATGGATAGATGAACTGGTGGATGGATGGTGGATGGTTGGATGGCTGGATGGGTGTGTGGATGGATAGATGGTAGATGGTTGGATGGATGGGGGGTTGATGGATAGATAGATGGATTGGTGGATGGTTGGATGAATGAGTAGTTGGATAAGTGGACGGATGGTGGATGTTTGGATGGGTCCATGGATGGATAAATGGATAGATAGTGGATGGTTGGATGGGTGGATAGATGGGTGGATGGATGGATGATGGCTGGTTGGAGGGATAGACAGGCAGATGGACAGCTGGGAGTACCCTCTTCTCTGTAAAAGTGAATGTAGGGTCAGAATAATCTGTTCCTTGACTGAGAGGGCTTTCCTGGGCCGTGGGTCTCCTTTGGGTGAAATTTTTAAGTGACTGATTTTGTTTGTTTGTTTGTTTTTATTCCTTCTTGAGTAAATTTTGGAAGATTACATTTTACCAGAAATTTTTTCTATCTCGGCCAATTTTTCCAAATTATTGCATTCTTGTACTGTCTTTCATCTCTGCTATTCCTGTAGTCATGGTCCTTCTTATCCTAACATGTTTATCTGTGCCTCCTCTTTGATTTTCGTCACCAGCCCTACCAGAACTTAACTTTTCATTTCAGTTTTAAACGATAAAGTAATCATGTGTAATATATTAAAAGTAAGATACTAATGAATGATGAACCAGAAATCTCTGAAACTGAAATGGGATATTTGAAAGAGAGCCAAATGGAACTTCTAAAAATGAGAACATATTAGCAGAAAATAGAAACTCGGTGAGATCAGCTAGAGAGAAGACTCATAACCTGAAAAGGACGTGTGTGTGCTCAATTGTGTCTGACTCTGCCACCCCACGGACCGTAGCCTGTCAGGCTTCTCTGTCCATATAATTCTCCAGGCAAGAGTACTGGAGTGGGTTGTTCTTTCATCTCTGCTATTCCTGTAGTCATGGTCCTTCTTATCCTAACATGTTTATCTGTGCCTCCTCTTTGATTTTCGTCACCAGCCCTACCAGAACTTAACTTTTCATTTCAGTTTTAAACGATAAAGTAATCATGTGTAATACATTAAAAGTAAGATACTAATGAATGATGAACCAGAAATCGCTGAAACTGAAATGGGATATTTGAAAGAGAGCCAAATGGAACTTCTAAAAATGAGAACATATTAGCAGAAAATAGAAACTCAGTGAGATCAGCCAGAGAGAAGACTCATAACCTGAAAAGGACGTGTGTGTGCTCAATTGTGTCTGACTCTGCCACCCCACGGACCGTAGCCTGTCAGGCTTCTCTGTCCATATAATTCTCCAGGCAAGAGTACTGGAGTGGGTTGTCATTTCCTCCTCCAGGGGATCTTCCTGACCCAGAAGTCAAACCCTCATCTCCTGCCTTGGCAGGATTCTTCACCACTGAGCCACCAGGGAACCCCACAGCCTGGAAGCAACGATTGAAGGAATGAGGCTGAGCACCGCCCAGAGACAAGGGGTAGAAGGGGCTTCGGTGTCTGCTCAGCGTCCCCACCAGAGTGAGGGGTGGATGACCAAAAGTGCCAGTGGCCAAGGGTCTTTCGTGACTGATGGAGGCACCGTCCTCAGCTCTGGAATGCAAGGGGGCCCAACCCAGAGAGTTTAAAAAAAAAAAAAAAAAGCTTGCATCCAGGCTCATCTGAGTGACTGCAGGACCACAAAGACAAACAGGAAACTGTAAAAGGATCCGGAGAGAACAGACAGGCAACCCACAAGGAGCAGCGCTAGCCGGACACCAACTGCTTCACAGCGAAGGGAGCAGAAGACAGCGGGGCAAGGTCTTCCAAGTCAAGAGGAAGAACCTGCCAGCCCAGAGCCACAGGCTCAGTGGGACTGTCAGCCGTGGGGCTGGGGGGTGGGTGGGAATAAAGAAATAAACTGGGAAAGCTCAACCCGTGAGACCTTCTCCAAGGGAAACTCTGTAGGAGGAGCTTCAAGCAGAAGGGCGACAGCCCCAGTGGCTGTCTGTTGAGCAAGATGGGGGCGTCAATGCAGGAAAGCCCGAATCAACAGGAACTCCAGGAAACAGTAACAACGATGTCAAGTCAGTGAAAATAAAGATAAAAACAGAATGAGGGAAGCGAGCCATCAGTCATGGGTGACAGGGAACTCGGCCGGGCCCTGGAGCGGGGGCTGCCTGTTCAGCAAATAAACACACAGGACACTAGCTGCAGTGCGTTTCTGAGAAGCAAGTACTTTGTAATCGGTTTAACCGCGAGTGCTGGGCAGTTCTGTGGCAGACACCCCAGTGCACCCTGTGGCTGTCAGACGGGCAGGCCGTGTGCGCCTCCCGACTCCACCTGCTGCAGGGACTTCAGGGAGAGCTCGGAGCAAAGATGCTCACACCCCTCTGTCTACCTTTTCTCTGATCATTGGAAGAAAACCCTGAAGGGCAGATGTAGTTGTCGCTCAGTCCTGTCTGACTCTTTCTGACCCCCTGGACTATAGCCCGCCAGGCTCCTCTGTCCATGGGATTCTCCAGGCAAGAATACTGGAGTGGGCTGCCATTTCCTCCTCCAGGGGATCTTCCTGACCCAGGGATCAAACCCACGTCTGCTGCTTGGCAGGCGGATTCTTTACCACTGAGCCACCAGAGGAGCCCGAAGTGGGGATATTCAAGCCCTGTCTGTGAAACCCTTGTTTACAAGTGCAATGAAACTGATGTTTCCGAAAAGGCATCATCCCTTCCCCTGATGACGTGCCATGCATCCAGCGGTGGAACCCAGGCCGTCACCCCTCTGTGCCAGCTGCCTCTGGACACCAGCCAGCGTCGTGGCCACACAGGTGCCCACAAACGTACCCGAGAGCCTCCTAGGGAAAACACCTTAAGGAAAACAAGTCTACTTCTGTGAAAACATTTATGTAATGCCACAACCACCTTTGGCTTTTTCAAGCTTTCTTATCTGTTAGCACGTGCACATGAGGAAGACGCTGATCCAGACATCCCATCTGAACACGCACGGGGATTCTATGACCCGAACGTCCCATCTGAACACGCACGGGGATTCTACTGATGGCCTCGAATTCACCGTGTATTTTTCTTTCGTCTCCAGCTCGATCCTCTCCCAGAAAAGGTCTTACAGCAGAGACCCAACGCCAACGCCGTGCGGTCGATGGAGAAAGTCATTGAAATCCACAGTAAGTGGTTTGGCCCAAGGCTCAGCAGGGAGACCCCCCCAAGGGAGGGGCCCAACTCCACAGCCCTTCCCCC